CTACTTGTAACATGGAACATGCCTCATGCACCACACATCATGCATCGACCACGCGTGTTGCGCAGGCATCTCGCGCGTGGTGGCGGCGGCTCGCGCGCGGTTTTCACTTCGATTTAGTTTTACCCTCATTATTTTCCCCTGTCTGTACGGCCTCTTGCGATAATGTGGTTTCATATATGAAGAGGCTTGTGATGCACTCAATAAAATGTAATTCGAATAATAATAATGTGTGGGATGATGATGGTGCCGATGATGGGGTGAGACCCATCAAGTGCTGGGAGGATTCTCACGACAGCAGATCGCAGGATTGTGAAAGACGGCGGCAGTTTGGGGAGGAGACCTTCATCCAGCAGTAGCTTGCTCATGGGTGATGATGATGAAGATCAACTGAGTTCGGCTCCCGCTCGGGACTTAGCCTCTTGACCTTGCCACCGCGAGGGACCGCGGCGCGCTCTGACCACTGCGCCACTCATCCCCAACGATGACAATTGGGGGGCGCTTAATGAACGCGTAAATACGTCTTACTCACCCTCAGGGACCCGCTCCGATCCGCGACTCACCCCGTGGGCCCCGTGATGAGTTAATGGGGTCCTCGTGTCGCGATGGACGTGGCTCATTGCGACACCGCCACCCGTGGCTGCCACGCCAAGCCCTCGTCTCGCCCGTTGCCAGATTTTGGAGCGGCCAGAGAGAGGGGGGGGACAATGGCCGCTATTGTGTGCAGTAGCAGAACGGGTCTCATTAAAACTGGGGTCCAGTGGTGACGACCCGGAGATTCAGGGGGGCTCGGTGATGGTGGGCAGTGGGGGGTGGTCTGGGATGGGGGAAGGGGGTACGGGATTGATCCAGAGATGAAGAGCTGTCATTGAATTGGCAACTCGGGATATGACGTTCCATTCACCCGTAGATTCACATCGATTGTTCCGCTCAATGTTTTGTTTTAAAATCTATTTCCTGCTCAAATGATAATTGATGCGATGCTGAGCCATTGCCATGAATTCCACATCCCTAGGGCCGGGGTGAGTCTATCCATCAAACAGCCACTGTCGACTTATCCCGCAAAGTGGTGCCGGTTTTTTTGATCGACCCCGCAGTGAGGAATGATGATGGTGCTGAGTCGACCCCTATCTCAGGAGTTGAACTCGCAACCTTTTGCGACCGCGAGCCGTTCGCACGACCGCTGGGCCACGCGGTGCGGGCTGCAGTTACCCGGGCGATCCGAGTAATCTGATCGTGCACGTGAGAAAATATATTATTTACTGCTTATGCAAACGAGACGATGGAATTGGCAAGTGCAGCACTGGGGAATTGAGAGACGCGTGCTGCCGATGACATTGCGAGACGGAGACTCGTGAGCGCGTGGAGTTAGAAAACACGCGCCGGCTTGCGAGAAGAGATGATGGCCACACGGATGGGGTTGTGGGCCGTTCATAAATGACGTCACGCACCTAGGGGGGGGAGGGGGGGTCAGAAATGTATGACGATTTTTGACGAGGGGGGGGGGAGGGGGGGGTCAGACATTTGTGACGATGTGTGACGAGGGGGGAGGGGGGTCAGACATTTGTGACGATGTGTGACGAGGGTGGGGAGGGGGGGGTCAAAAATCGGCTAAAATCGCGTGATGTCATTTATGGACGGCCCCTGTGACGGAATAGCAGCCGAGGGAGAGAACGCGCCCAGAGGACGTCCACCGCGGAGACGGAGCGATGCAATCGGCTCACGTTGCAGGTGCTAGCGCCAGGCGAAGCGATGTTCGTCGGTGTGACATAACAACACGCAGCTGTACACTGCGCCATCGATGCGGTATTCGAGAGGTGCGTGTGATGATGCAGTGTCAGTGTCAGCAGCCACGCGGGGCTGTCATAGGCCCTGTGTGCCTGATGCACGAAATCAATTGGGCCCATAACCCCCCCCACACACCCCTCCCGCCCTCTTCACAGGCTACGGTGCAGTTGCACCGCCGGCACCCTCGTTAGCTACGCCATTGGTTGTCGTTGGTGGGTGCGGGCGTTGTTGTTGTTGTAGTTGAGAGCAACAGTTGCCGGCAACGGAGTTGGCATCGACGCGGGAGGGTCGTTGAGCTTCTCGTGGCAACAGAGACCTCTGCTGGGGAGGAAGCCGCACGCCAGACGCACACCCTCGACAATGGTCTGCACGACGACGCCACCGATTGTTTTGTTTTCACCTCCCGGTGTTGGGTTCGGCCACAGATGGCCTTAATCTAAGTTGTCTTGTGGTTGTTGTTGTTGTTTGACTTGCATCCCACTGGGATTTTTGCACACAGTGTTGGTGTACGGTGCTTTTTCTGCAATATTTTGCTGTCTTTTCTTGGATTTTCTGTTTTCACTTAGTCACTTTAAGATGTTTTCTTGTTCATGTTTTTGTTTTTTGTTTGTTGCGGTTGCACCCGATTCAAGAGCCGAATGGCTCACAGGGCTATACCTAATAAATGAAACTTGCATGACTTTCGACACGCACCGATGGCATCGATAAAAAAAAGAGGCGCAGCCCCTGCAAGCGCTCGCTCACGCCGCTGCTGGCGGAAGGGCATCCACCATGAGGGAGCAGACGTGATGGGAGAGGTGGAAGTAACCACACGTTACCCAGTGCCAGATTATCCTCGCAGTGAAAGTAGCTGCACAGGCTACGGGCCTCGCACTTTCAAGGGCCCCGCGTTAAATGCTTTGAAGCCATCAATTCAGTGATTCTGCACTTGCTCTATTACTATAGTACTATACCGCCTTCGACTTTTATGAAGGACTGGGTGTTTAAGGTTAGCGATTTGTCGTATTATCTGGCTGTTTAGCAAATTAAAAAATAGAATTACTTTACTATGCAAGAAAAAAAATTGTGCTTTCATATTTATGTGTTTTATATTTAGGGTCCCTTGATAACATATGCTACAGGCCCCGCACTAGCTTAGTCCGGTACTGACTTTACCCCACCACACGCACTTTGTATACTGCTGCTGGGTGGACAGAGGCACGGGGGGGGTGGGGGTTTCAGTGTTGCTGTTCAAAGCAAATAATCTGGTGGTTGTCAAAGGGGGGAGGGGGCGACTCGTAGCTTTGGCCGCCAGAGGGAGCCAAGGCACCCCTGCCAGGGCCACGCTCGCGACGCCTATGGATCACGCACACACACACGTGTGAATCACACACACACACGGGTATGGATCACACACACACGGGTATGCATCACACACACACGTGTGGATCACACACACACACGGGTATGGATCACACACACACACGGGTATGCATCACACACACACGTGTGAATCACACACACACGGGTATGGATCACACACACACGTGGATCACACACACGTGTGGATCACACGCACACACGCGTGGATCACACACACACTGCATATTGTGTTTCTGAAGGCTGCGAGGCTTGGATAGGGAGTTGGGCTAATCGGGGGCGTAAGGCACGACAGTGCCACTAGAGTGCAAGCTACTCCTCGGCATACTCGGATCTTATTGTACAGCAAGTACCCCTGTATTAATTATGCGTCTATAAAGATGCGTATAGCGATTCAACGGACGCAATAAGGCACGATGGATGCGGTGCAGCCAGAATCATTCCTAGAACTGTTCCGGACTTGTTCCGACCTGAGACGAATCAGCGAGTCGATGCTGTATCGCCACGTGGTGATAATGGTGATTGAGAGATTCGAAGCAGGCGCGGCTCGTCCGCTCCGTGCGTTGGGACGTCGCCCCATCAAGCAGTTGCAGATGAGAAATCATTTTTCTAATAAAAAAAAATACTTTTCTATAAATTGTTTTGATGTGTTTGAAAAAATGAAATATGATTCTTTCAACGCGAATTGCCCGAATGAAGATAACTTTTTCAGTTGTTCGTATTGTAAACCGCTGCATCGGGGCGTCTGTGAAGGCGTCCTCCGAGTGGGAGAGATCTCCTCTTCGCTCGTCGCGAGTGGCTTCTGGCATTGTGGCCACGCCGTTGGAGACCCATTCAGGGCGGTGAAGCCAAGGGCGCCCTTGGCTATGTGTGACGAGAGACGATGTCACAACGCGAGGTCGCAGCGTGCAAATCGAGCAGCAGGTCACGACCTTACACGCTCGAGGAGGAAACAGCAGCAGTGGCGATGGCAACGAACACTGAGATTCACTCCTAAATATTCACTCTGAAAGGATTTGTTGAGTCGTGTCAGCTGATCTTATATTGTTCTTTAGGCTTTTGGCAGCGTCAACTTGAGGGTCATGGGGACAGCATTTGAGTGCTTTATCTTGTTTGATACTGTTCACAAATGCTTACCGTTGGTAGATAAGATAGTTATATCACTTTCACGGGAAGGCCACTAACACGACGAACTTTTACCCCATTAGAACACCATCTTTTCATCCATCATAGAGGTTTGTTTGGGTTAGATCGCGTAAATATATAAATGTGTCGTTAAACCCGCCATCATCCGACACAGCCAACTAGTAAGGGTTGTCACGTAAACAGAACGTGGCCAATTCGTCACTAGTACAGCACTAACCGGTGTGTTGGAGAGCCAAGCCACAACATTTACAATCTGAGCACGACGTGTCGCCAGTAATTGCAACCAGCTTCATCAGGCGACAGCCAGATGTATGGAGAAGTCCACCTGTTTCGTTCCTTATATAGAGGTGTAGACGTGGTGACCACCCTTCTGCGCTCAGATTGTAAATGTTGTGGCTTTGCTCTCCAACACACCGGTGTGCTGTACTAGTGACGAATTGGCATGTTCTGTTTACGTGACAACTCTTATTAGTTGGCTGTGTCGGGTGGTGGCGGGTTTTAACGACACGTTCATATATTTACACGCTCTAACCCAAAAAAACTCTACTATGGATGATATTGGTCACGAAAGCCTCCCACCTGTTAAACTGACCATCTTTTCAGAGGCCACTCACAACAGCGCCGCCGAGTGGAAGTGTCACGAGAAGCCACTGATTAGAACGATTCCGAGATTATCACGATTCTGAGACATTGCCTTCCATCAAATCAAGCGTGTGAGATGGTGCTATTTTATATTGATGGAGCGTGTATGCAAATTACAAGCAAGTTAGACTAATGGGGATAATGGGCTAATGGGGCGAACGTGGCAGAATGAGATGGACAATACAAACGAGACAGTAACGATTAGAAACAGGACGGACAATACAAACGAAACGGTACAAACGAGACAGACACGAGCCTACACACAACAAGACAATATCATCATCATCACGAATATAATTACGACCCCGAATCATGAGAAGTCAATCGGTGGTGGTGGTGGGAGGTGGGGGGAGGAACTACACGGAATGTTTATCTCACAACATCTATGAAGCGCTGCTTCGATCGCCAGCACTGGGGCTGGGGCCATCATGGTTGAGTGTGACCGTGGGCAGCAGCAGCAGACAGCAGCAGTAGCAGACAACAGCAGTGGCAGCAGCAGACAACAGCAGTGGCAGCAGCAGACAACAGCAGCAGAGAGCAGCAGCAGCAGACAACAGCAGCAGCAGCCAGCAGCAGCAGCCAGCAGCAGCAGACAACAACAGTGGCAGCCAGCAGTAGTAGCAGACAATAGCAGCAGCAGCAGACAGCAGCAGCAGCCAGCAGCAGCAGACAACAGCAGCAGCAGAGAGCAGCAGCAGGCAGCAGACAGCGCCGTGTCCCCTGGCGGGGAGGGGGGGGGTGACGGCCCCCGTCAGGCGTTGACGAGCAGGGCGTGCTTGGTGTCGCTCCGTGTGGCCAGCAGGTCGCGCACGCTGACGCCGAGGCCTCTGGGCCACCAGCGCCGCAGCCACCGCGACCCCGAGACGACACCGCCGCCTCCCCGCACCGCCCCCGCCTCCTCCTCCTCCTCTCTCGGGCGGCTCCACGCGGTGGCGGCGTCGACCGTGAGCGCTCCTCGCCTTGGCGGGCGCGAGAAGCGGAATCAAAACTTAATTCTAGATTTGAAGCTTTCGTGACTGCAAGGATTCATATTCTTAGGTTTTTCGGTAAAGTCACGTAAGTAAAACATTAAAATTAATAAAAGTAAAATAAAAATAATAAAAGTAAAATAAAATAAAAATCACGACGTTTCTTTAATTTATTTAGACCGGGGGAGGAATCCGATGAGCTATGAACCCATTTTTTTCGCAGACGTCCGGTGCCTACACACGAGGGGGAGGGGGGGGGCTCAGAGCGGCACGGGGCGATGGCAAAATAGAGGGGGGGGGGCGGGTGTCATCTGCCGGCCATCACAGTCAGCCCACCCGTGGCGCTTGGGTCTGTCCCGTGACCTCCTTTAGTCAGCGAGCCTTCGACACTTCACGTGGCCTCAAAGTGCACCTGGCCTGGCACAGGCGCGGTGTTCTCATTGACATCCCCACTGGATTGTAATGACCCTCTTACTGTCGTCTCAACCAGCCGATTGCAAGTTTCGTCGAATTTCAAAATTGCCGTGGGTGCAAGGGCCAACAGAGCCGCGGGGCCTGCCGTCCAGAGGTCGCCAGTTCCAGGCAACCTCCTGGCGCGACAGTTGAAGCAACGGAGCGAGTCTCAACCCCACGGGAGTAGATCACCGAGCGATAACCTCCGGGACTGGTAACCGACGCTGAAAACGGTTACCGGTTTAACAACTGGTATTTGCATTATTATTTATATAATGGCATTTATATACGACTATGTGTGCAGGTGTGTTTTAGTGGGGCATCACACCTGTGCGTTCCGTACACACACACACACCTGTGCATGAGAACTGCAATTCCAATCACCAGCGCCACCGCCAAGGCTCCAATGATGACAGCGGCTTCCAGTGAGGCCGGCTCGGAGACTGTGGAGCATGGGGAGACACGGGGAGTGAAAGGGTGATCAAGATCATCATCACGACCACGAGTCTTTCTTCACCGTCACCATCACCGCAGCCGCCACCACGTCTGCCGTGATCTTAAATCATAACTATGAACGCATCTTATGGAGACTATATGCCTGTTTTTGTCAAGGAAGACCCCCTCATGCTGGATCTAGATATGAGAAGGTGAGTGTGTGCGTGAGTAGGTGAGTGAATGGGCGAGTGAGTGGGTGAGTAGTTTAATTATTGGATGAGTGATTGGGTGAGTGAGTGGGTAAACGGTTGAGCGAGTGAATGGGTGAGTGAGTGAGCGAGTGAGTGATTGAGTGTATGAGCGCGTGTGTGAGTGGGTGATCGAATGGGTGAGTGAGCGGGCGAGCGAGCGAGCGAGTGGATGAGCGAGCGAACGAGCGAGTGAGAGACTCCTACTGCTCTGGAGGCTCAGGCGAGTGGTGGCGGAGGCTCTGCTGAGTGCGTCCGCCACGGTCACACGAAGGCAGTAGCTCCCCGCGGAGTGGAACTCCCGGCGCAGGACCAGGGAGCAAACCCGGGCCTCGGCCGCGCAGGTGCCCGGGGCCACGGGCTCGCACGCCGCCTCCCCCTCCAGCGAGTCGGCGCAGTCCTCGGAGAGAAGCTCGCTGCACACCTGCGTGGGGGAGCTGCTGCGGAATCGTCGCCATCATCATCATCAGCAGCAACGGCTTTAGTATCAGCAGCGGCAACAGTAGCAGCATTAGCAACATTATTATTATCATCATCATGGTCATTGTCATCATCAGCAGCAGCAGTTGTACTAGAAGCAGCATCGTCATCATCACACCATGATATCATCATCAGAGATATCAGCATCAATCAATACCACCATCTTCATCATCATCATAACCACTATCACAACCTTCATCATACCACTACCACACCATCGTCAGCAGCAGTACCACGTGCCTCGTGTGCTTGAATAGCGCCTGAGTAGTCGCCCGCATGGAGTCGTCGATTCAAACTTTTAGTCGATTAATCGACGAATGGTGCCATCTTTATCCCCGTGCCGAGGGAGAGCGAGTGCGGAAAGTGGAGAGAAGAGAGGAGAACGAGGAGAGGAGAATGGAGAGGGGAGAGGGGAGAGGAGAATTAAGAGGAGAGATAAGAGATATGAGAGAGGATAGAGGGGATAGGAGAGAGGGGATATGAGAGGGAGGAGAATATGGAGGAGCGAAGAGAGGAGGCAGGGGAGAGGAGAGATAGGAGAATAGAACGAGTAGAGAGGGGAGAGGAGAGGGGAGAGCTCTCACCCGCCGTGGCTTTCCACCTCGAAGTCGAGCAGAGCGTGCGGTGCGGAGAAGAGTGCTCCTCCTTGCGTCACCGACACGGCCCTCCGCACCTGCGCCGTGGCGATTCCATCTGTGCGGCGACACGGCCGTGTGGGGGTGGGGGGGGGGTAAAAGGGAGTGGGGGGGGGTCAGCAAATGGGGACCGCTTAGTGATTGATGTGGGGTCGTATTGCGTTGTGGTACGTCGGTAAGTAAATAAGAACGTGGTTTGATAGGTAGGTAGATGGGTGGGTAGGTAGATGGGTGGGTGGGTAGTTACGTAAGTGGGTGGGATGGTAGGCGGATAACTAAGCAAATAGGCGAACAGGTGAGTGAGTTGGTAAGTAAATAGGTAGATAGATAAGTAGATAGAGGGGTGGGTCAGGATGTGGGTAATTACTTGGTGGGTGGGTGAGTATATAGGTAATAGGTAGCTAGGCCGTTGTGTAGATAAGCAAGTTGTTGGATAAATGGGTGGGTAGATAGATAAGTGAGTGTGTGTGTGTGGATTTATAGCTATGTGGATAGGTAGGTGTGTAGGTTAGTGGGCGTGTTCGTAGGTAGGCAGGCAGGTACTTAGGTAGGCAACCATGCAGGTAGGCAAGTGCCAGCTGCATGCCGGGTTGGAAAACGAGGTGGATAGAGTTAGTGGGCAGGCAAGCCTCTTACGCAGAGAGGTATTTATGTATGCACGCAAGCAGGTAGGCAAGTAGGCTGGCATGCAGCACGTCTCTCTAGTGGCTTCACAGTCGCCTCACCCACGACCTCCACCGTGGTGCTGTAGGTGCCGTAGCGATAGAGGGGACAGTCGGTGGGGCGATCCTGCCCGGATAACTCCTGGCTCAGGAGGAGGAGGAGGCTCAGCTCCGGACTTTCCCGGGAAGCGGCGGCGGCTCTGTCGAGGACTCCAGAGGTCCCGCTCGGGGTGCTGGGGGTGAGGTCCCAGGTGGCGGTGGTGCCGTACGGTTCGGCGACTGTGAGACGCCCACCAACCACCATCACCACCACAGGGAGGGAGAGGAGACATCGCACACAGAGGGCGAGCGTCAGTGTCCCGTGTCGCTGAACACCTGAACGACGAGAGAAGCTCGCGAAGACATCGCACGGGAGGGCAGAGGCCTTCGTCTGATGTGGGGCGGCAGGAGCGAGGGTCTTGCTGCATTGGCAGGTTCGATCAAGCTCACTAACGAGCGTTGGGCATGTGAAAAGAACCTGGTGAAACGGGAGAAGACCCCCATGACGCATATAGGAGGGGAACCACTTCGTTTTTGCGCAGATTAACTGAAGATGCCACTGCTTGGACCGCCTTCTCCTGGCCACATCGCTACGCAAGATTATAACACTCGGTATTCTCCCCGGAAATCTCCCTTCCCAGTACTAAACAGGCGTTTATCTTGCTTAGCTACAAAAGTTAGTTTAACCAGTGATTCTGTATCAACCTCTCTCACCGTAACCTCGCTACTCACCCTGGCGCTAGCCCTAACCCGAGCCGTGATGCCAGCACATTGTCCTGCTACTGGGTCCTTCGGGCTCGTGGGGCCCGGTGCAGTTTCACCGCCTGCACACTCGCTCGCTACACCACCGATGCACACACAGCTCAACTCTGGCCCGCACCTGCGCGTGATGTGATGGCGCTGGGCTCCTCCGGGGCAGCGGTGGAGGCGCTCTCCGTGGTGCTGCCGCCCACCGTGGCGTCAGTAGCCGTTGTCGTGGTGTTGCTGGTGGCGGCCGTCGTCGTTGTTACCGCGGCGGCTGTAGCAGCGCTGGCAGCGGCTGTCATGGTGCTGGTGGCGGCGCCGACGGCGGCGGCGGTGGTGGCGCAGGGCGCGGGCACGGTGGCCTGCACGGCGAGCCGCGCCGCGTACGCGCCTGGCCCCGCGTACGAGTGGAGGGCGTGCGCGAGGCGAGAGATGAGGAGGCCCGAACCGTCCCCGAAGTCCCACGAGAACGAGACGTCGGCTCCGCGTAGGAAGCCGCTCGGGTCGTGCAGCCGCGCCTCGAACAGCACGTTGGGCCCGGCCACGAAGCGCTGCCGCCGCAGCAGCGGACCCGACGACCGCGCGTCCTCACCCCCCACCGCTTCCTCTTTTTCTTGCCCGGAGCCCGCGGCTGCCACGGCGGACTGGCTGAGCTCCACCGAGAAGGGGACCTGGTCTGAGACACGGAGGTAGGGGAAGGCCGTGGTGCGAGGGGGATTCGTGAAGGGTGGCGTCAACGCATCAGGGGGTGGGGGGTCGGGTAGGATAGAAAATTGGGAGACCTGGGTTGAGATTGGGAGGTGGTTTGATGGGGAAAGGCTTTTTGAAAGTCGTGGGGAAGCGAGGGAGGAATAGGTGGGAGGTCGCCTGCTTGACAGCTCAGAGCATCGCTAATCGCTGCGCCACCGCTCCACCCAGTAAACGACGTACTAATTGCATTTGGATCCACGTGGGGTGAAAGCAATAACAAAACACCTAATATACACAATATATATAACAATGAAGACGTGGAGCCGGGAGTCGAACCCGTGACGGTGAACTGCGAGGAGGCGCGTGCCACGGGCACGAACTGTCGTGATCCCCCGCGACGGTAGACCACGAGGGACACGTGGTGAGAGCCCAGGGGCACCCCCCGCGTCTCCAGCACCAGCCACGAGGTCGCGTTACCGGCCACCTGCCACGAGCGACCTGCGGTGGACAACAAAAACACGCGCTCGCTCGCGCCTTTACAATGTGCGCCCATCTTCTTGGTTCTTTCGGTAAAGTCACGTAGAAGGGAAATACAAAAATAAAAAAAATAAAACATAATAAAAAAAAAATTCTTCACCTGAGGACGGCTGCTTGCGTTGTGGCCGAAACGTCGTGAGAATTGTATTTTGTTATGTTTTATTTTTATTATTTTATTATTTCCCTTCTACGTGACTTTACCGAAAGAACCAAGAAGATGGATCCCTGCAGTCACCAAAGCTTTAAATCGAAATGTGCACCCATTGCCTCGTGGTGCTGTGCATACAACACCCGAATAGCCAAGCCACACGCGCTTTCACACTGTGCGCCCATTTGCGCACGGTACTGCACAAAGCATAAATCCGTGCCGCGTGCGTGTTTACAAGGTGCATCCAAATGGTTTGCAGTATTATACTTTATGTTAAAGCCACGTGCACTTCCACAAGGTGCGCCCAGAAACACAGGTATGGTAACGCCGATGTGACGTTTTTACAATTAAAAAAAGCGAGTCATCTACATTAGAGACATGCCGATGTGACGTTTTTACAAAGTGCACTCATCGTGAAGCTCGTCGTGCGTTCCAGTTGAGCCCCCCCCCCCCCCCCCCACCGTGGAAACGTGGAAAGCTTTAGCAAAACCACTACCTCACTTAACACATTTGCAACGTGCACCCCAAAAACAGCCGTCTGTCTGCGATCACATGGTGCGCCGCGTGACGCTGAGGCCGTCCGCACCCAGGCCGCTCCACACGTAGACGAAGCGTGGCCCCTTCCTCCCCGGGTCCCCGCTGAGGAGGTGCCCTCTGCCTCCCCGGTGGGGTCCAGGGTGCCTCCCTGAGCCGCAGTCCGGGTGCGCGTCTGCGTGCGAGGGGACACGGGGAGGCCCGGGAAGAGACCCCGAGGGGAGCGGTAGTCACGGGACGAGTCGTCCATTCACGCGGAGGTCCGAGTCTTGCGCTTGAGTCGTGCGTGCAATGATTTACGATTTTTGTAAATTATGTGCAGATGCGTAATATCATTATAATTTAATTTTACTTTTTGTTGATTAATAACACCGGAAGCAGGTGCATGGCTTCACTATTCTGGAAAATCGCCCGAAGATGCTGGATGTAATTACCAGCGAAACGTCGTACTCAAATTCTAAATGTTGTGGATTCACTCTTCAAACACACCGGTGGGCTGAAGAAGTAATTAATTGGCGTTTTGTCAACGTGACACATTTTTTACTGATTTGCCGTGTCGGGTGGTGGAGGGTTGCGACACATTTATAACAACACGATTTAACCCAAAAACCTTTATTATGAATAATAATACCGAGTCTCAAGACTCTTTTTAAGGAGGGTCCTGCCAAGTTTTCGCAGTAGTGGGGCGATGCTGCTGCTGCTGCTGCTGCGTGTAGTCCCGATGTAAACATTTGCAGGTTATGTTTGCGCAAACACCAGTTCCATTGTGTGGGGGGTTTATTAGCGATGACCTTTGGCTGACTCACTCGGAATGCGCTCGATACCGTCAGCTAAGCTGATTTGCACCTGGACAGCGCTTGGACGCGTGACCACCGTTGGCATGCCAGGTTATCACACCTACAGAATATGCTCCACGCCTTTTCCAACCCGCACTCACCAGCGTGGTGAAGTATGGTCAAATAACCCCTTCGACCCCACAACAGCGTGGGGAGGCCCTCGTTCAGCAGTAGATTGGCAATGGAGCTCTACTGGTGCTTGCTACATTCGGGCTAATGTGTGTACGTTGAACTTCTTTTGCACCGTACGCAGCCGACCGGGATAATCGGAGGGGCGGATGGTAAGCACGCTGCAGAGCGAGACGATGCGCGGTACACGTGAGACGGAGGCAGGCAGTGCAGATGAGATAGACGGACATACAATGCAATCCATACAATCGAGATAGTGGCAATTAAAACATATGCATTGGCAAATAATTAAATAATTAAACATTTATAATCGATTTATCATCTGGGCCCTCTGGTCTCTGAAAATCAGTCTCCACTCCAACTCTTTATCCTCCACTTTATCTCCTAGAAACTCTCAGTTCATGTGCTACTAAGATGGTTCATCGCCCGAAACGTCGCCTATTATATACATACACTGCATATCATTTGTTGTTAATGCCACAGCGGTTTGTTTCCCGTCGGCGCGTGGCGTGTTACCGTCGAGGGGCTCCGCGTCTCCCCACGCCGCTTCGAGCTCCCGGGGGACGCGGAGGCGCGCACTGAACGTGGCCCGCGCCCCGGTCAGCGTCGGGCAGTCGTTGGTGACCTCCACCGTGACCCGGGCGCCTGCGCGCGCACGGACGCAGGGCGGACGCGGCATCTGGGTGATCCACGTGCAGACACCCACAGTGAAATGAAACTCCGAGAGGGGCGAAGCGATCGATCGCCTTGCTCGCGGGAGAATGTTGAGACGTTGGCGCGCAACTCCTGTGTCCGGCCCTGAGCCGGGTGGTGGTCAATTTTACTTTTCTATGGCCGGGGCGAGTATATCCATAGGCCAGACGCTGTTGAATTCGCCACAAAGCGGTACAAATTTTATCTGTCCCGGAGGGAGAGTGGGTTGAGTCATGTGCAAGACGCCGATGTTACAGATAAATGCAACGTTCATCTATTCTCACAATATTCACAATGTTTTGACAACGCCCTTATAGCGCCGGTTTTGTGAATTATTTTCCGCTCAGATTTCATTTGAATATCTCTACGCTTTGAGCGATAACCCGTTTCATCAATTGAGCCGGCTGTCTGCTAGGCGAGTCCGCTCTTGGCAACACAACCCCGACTATACTAAAGTTTGGCGTCACACCAGGACCATGTAATGTGTTCTTCTCCTCCCCCTCCATTTTCGCTCTCTGGGAAACGCTCGCGTTGGCGCTAAGCGCTCGCTAAGCCCTCAAGATTAAAGCAAATCCCCCCACCACCACCACCACCTCCCCATCTTAATCTCCTCTTCGCCAGTGCCGTATCTGCTGACCTCCTCCGGCACCGAGCCAGCGAGGATCGTTGGTGGGCCACGCCGGGAGGAAACCGGGGTCCACGGGTCCCCTGGTCTCCCGTCGCGGCGGCCCGTGGCGGTGGTGAGGCGGAGGTCCCCATCGCCCTACGGGGCACAGGAGGGGGGAGGGGGTGGTGGGTGTTTGGGGGGGGGAGGCGATGCAGGGGGTCTGCACTGACTGGGCTCACAACAAGAGCCCTCCATCATCGCCATCCTGTTGAGTTCACAAGTCAAGGTGCAGATGTGTAATTGCTCGCTCGCGTCTCTGCTGGAGGGAGGACCTTCCCCATCGCTAGAGAGCCCATCTCGTGGAGGACCGGCGTTTGCCGTGGCCTGGAATCGATGTTATATCGTCGGGTTCATGGCGCAGTGCACCAACCACTGTGTTCCAGCTCCCATCCATCTATATTTGTGTAATATAAGACACATCTCATCATCATCATCAGCTATAATGATCGTCTCACAAGTATCATCGTTCTAATTGTTTTCATTTTTATAGCCGGAGCGGTGGCTCAGTGGTTAGCACACTACGCCACGAATCGGGCGATCTGAGTTTGATTCCCGGGAGAAAATCCGTCGAGTGATTTCTGAACCAGTCCTCGGAGCTGCTCTCTTGTTCCCCTCCCTTCACAAAACCCGGACTTGGACCAGCGAGGTGAAGTATGGTCAAGCAACCCCCTTAACCGACATGGCGTGATGAGGCCTTCGTGCAGTCGTTGATTGACTAAGGACTTTAAGTAAAGTCACGTATAAAGATAAAAGAATACATTAAATATTTAATACATTATTTTATCTTTATACGTGACTTTACCGAAAGAACCAAAGCGTAATTCCTGCAGTCACGAAAGCTCCAAATTAAGATTAAGGACTTTAAGTTATATTAATAATTAGGGGTTTTCGCCTTTTTTCTGGCAACAAAACTGCAACCTTTTGTTGCCAGAAAAAAGGGGGAAAACCCTTTTATTATACTTTTGTACTGGCAAAGGAGGTCTAATGATAATTTAAGTTACATAATTTTTTATTGAATATCAGAATATTATAGTCTTAGCGTGTAGTTCCCAAGACGATAACTATCAGAATGTTTATTTTTACTGGAGGAGTCCGATGAGCTATTAACCTCTTTTTCACAGATGTCCAGTAGGAGCGGGTCAGAACGTCACAACAACAACAACTAATAATAATACAAAAACAAACGATATGAGTGCAACGTACAGGAAAAGTAAACAAATCACTAAAAAATATACAACTACAACTTTTTTTTCTTTCCAGGTAAAACGCACTGAGCTTTTAGCTTCTGCTTTAGAAGCGACCTGGCCACGATTTATATCATATAAATCATTTCTTATTCATGTTTTCGGAGCCGATATGATGATTCGTAATTTCGTTTTTTGTATGGGTTGCGTAACGATCTGACGCCTTGAACAATAACAGTTTTACTTGGCTCATTAAACCCTTGTACCGCCACGTGGACATTTAGCTTGACAGTGTCGGGTGGTGGTGGAACCTAAACGACACAGGTTTGGTAAAATCATTACGTGGCCTAATCCATTAAATTATTATATTTAATGCGTAATTCAATAGACATGTAATCGTAATATGGTCATCAGCATCATCAACAATACGCATTTAACAGCACGGCTCTCTTTCCACAACAGCACAACCTCAAATAAAAAAAACATTCACATACTCCTGCACATTCGCTTTGAATCAGTGACCCACTAAACCAACGAACTTGTTGGACTAATTGACACGCGACTAGACAAACACAGTCCATTTGTTTCCCTGTCCACACGAGAGGGAGACAAATGGACATCTTTGAAAAAGAGGTTAATAGCTCATCGGATTCCTCCAGTATAAATACATCTTCTGATTATTTAATTCTGATAGGAGTAGAGTGGCGATCGTGTTCACTGGTTCCAAGCTTGCGGTGGAAATTCCACGTTCCTTGGACCATAAAAAAACAAGTCTCCTCCACGATTGTATCCAGATTGAGCTCTCCGTGATGTGAAGAACCAAGTTGATTCCCCAGAGGCAACTCTGAGATGCCATCAAGTGGCATCTTTGTACACACAGTCAGGGGTCAGGATGTGTCCAAATTGTCCTGTTGCAGGTAACCATCAACGAGTCAGTTTTAAAAAAGACAAAGCTGGTCATTGAAAAACATTTCACAACTTAAATTCTCATCAGGCTCCGCGGCATAAAGTGAAGTCTCCAACCCCATGTGCTATGCTGAGGGACCATTTCCCGTAACGTTACCAATTATATAAAAGATAGTTTAAGGTCACAGCGTAAGTAACGAATGCGTTGAGTTTTTTTTTCTGTTATTGAGCAATGTATGCCCATCGCAGTGAAACCATTCTTTTAATTTTCTGAGCTGGAATTTTGACTAATTAAGTGCAGTTAGTGCTTGATGGGTTTATTTGTGCAGTCATTTTTGACTTGGCTTAGACCATCAACTCGCTCTGACCTCTGAACCACCTGTCCCGCTCTGCACTTCCACGTGTTGCGCGCATTTTGCTGCTCCATCTGTTCCATTTGCTACACACCAGCGAGACCGAGCAGCGCTCGGAGACCGTCAAGACTTACTCGTGCAGTCGCACCGCGACACCGTGAACGCGACTCCGACCACCGCCGCCAGCAGCAGCACCGCAGGTCTGTCCATGCCTCCAAGGAAGAGGCGAGAGATGCAGACAGGGAGATGAACAGAGATGCGGGCAGCGCGAGATGTCTCCAGGGGAATGTGACAGAGAGACGGACACACCAGGGAGATGAGCAGGGAAACGACGGGGAGCTCGGGAGGGAGAGAAGGAGTCCGTGCCCGCACCACGCGCCCCTTTATGTGTTCACATGATGGGGCTTAGTGAATGAGACGTCCTCACGGGAGTAGCCATGTGACTCATTCCTTAATGCCACCGTCACATGTCTGGTTGGCACCGCGAGGAGCCAATATAAAGGATTTTGTTCATTTTTTTCGCTTTCTCATATATACACATTTATTTTTATTCACTGTCCCTTTGAGACCCGCGCTGGACGTCGCGTATGAGCTTACGCAAGGAGTCTTTGGAAAGAGTCTGGCAGGCAGCGTTGAATTATCCAGAGTCGTAGCCCTCGTCTAGTCGAGTCCACGTCTTTGGATTCCAAATGCTGACGAAGTGAACACCGAGATGCCTCCATGAGCTGTCATTCCATCACCAGTCTCGTTCATCGGCCCATCTCCCGTAGCCGGAATGTGTCCTGCCCCAGCATGATTTACCTTTCCCTACAGTCAATGTTGTGTCTCTGATTGACTTTGTTTCGCCTGATCCACGTCTTCCCCTCTGAGTCTCTCGGTGAAATTCCCAGCGTGAATCTCTGCGCACGTCTTGCCTCGGATTTAAAGCATTTGTTTCAGTTTCAGAATCTTTATGAAAACCGGAGGAATCCGATGAGCTATTGAAGCTCTTTTTACTAAAGTGTTTATTTTTTTAAACACATTCCTGCGGAGGGAGCTGGTAGGAACATTGGGTTTCTTGGTCAATGGCCAGGGTCAACGGTGGCGTGGTGTATTCCGCAAATATGCCCGACTGTGAGGGCGGGCACAAGCCGGCGTGAGTAGGTTAAACGTTGAGTTTTATAAGGGCACCACGGGGTGACCAGCCCCTCCCCATTCAGCCCCACCCCTCCCACCCTCCACCCAGCTCCACCCTCCCTACCCAGCCCCACCCTCCCCACCCAGCCCCACCCTCCTCACCCTCCCCACCCAGCCCCTCCTCACCCTCCCCACCCAGCCCTTCCCCACCCTCCCCACCCTCTCCACCCTCCTTACACAGCCCCTCCCCACCCAGCCCCTCCCCACCCTCCCCACCTAGCCCCTACCTCCCCACCCAGCCCCTCCCTGCACGACGGACGGACGGACACAATAATCCCCTGTGGGCTGGTGTAACCAGGAGGTTCCTACCAGTATTACACAAGTATGTAAGACGTCTGTAATACCAACCACATGTACGTCCTGGTACGCAGTTTAAACGCAACGCCGCAGCATATATTACGACCCTTTGTCAATACATTGTAAGATGAAGGCCTCCCCATGCTGTGTCGGTCAGGAGGGTTGCTCGACCATACTTCACCTCATCGTCCATCTAGCACGGGTGAGTTTATCAATGGGTGGAGGGAACAAGCCGAAGCGTTGGCTCAGGAAACGAGCCGTGCTCCTCCGTACCAGGAACTGACCGGCATGGCTCGGGTCTGGTTTCCTGATGACCGTGGAAACGCGGCGTTTAAAGCTCGTGAGTGGCGAGGTGCTGGGGGCGAGGTGGGAAGTTGTGGGTAGCATGGGGATTTGGTGGGGGCGGTGCAGTGGTGGGGGGGGGGGGGGGTCATGTGAGAGTTTCAAGAGCCGCGATTTCCCCCGTCAATCATTCAAGGCCACGTGCTCTCTCAATGGCCCGCATTGAGATGCTGTGGGATGGACACACGGATACAGAGACAAAGACCCCCCGTATAGTCTTTAATAGACTGTTGGGGCAGGTGCTGTTAGCGAGGAGCACATATGAAGGCCGGCACGGCACACGACCGCCTTTATATGTTTCGGAATATATTAAATAAGGGTATGAAATACATTATCGGGAAAAACATTTAAAAACTATGAAAATTAAACTATTATTTGCATTTTACCAGGTAAGACCCACTGAGCGTTCTAGCTTTGTTTCAGAAGCGACCTGGCCACAAATGATTGCTCAACAAAGTGGCTTATCACGTCGACATTTATATCAGCCAAATACACTAAAACGCACGTTTATAAATGTGGAGGGAAAAACCCAGGAGGACCCGGAGAAAAATCCACGCAACCACGGGGAGAACGTGCAAACTCCAAATATACAGCGGCAGGCGTCAGGGTCGGGATCGAACCCACGACCTCCTGTAGACCAGGCGAGGTAGTTAACATCTCCTAGCCACCGCGGCGCCCCCCCCCCCTATAAAAAAATCTAACCTAGCAACAAATACAATGTCATACAAATCATTTGTAAAGTAAAGCAATTGTTTGCATCGTTCCCTTTGTGGCTCGAGGGATGGTGACCTTAGTTGTAGGAGGTCAGGGCCTGTGTGTGCGCATTCCACGCCTGTTCGCCCACCATCACGCGTAGCCACCACCACCCCCCACCCCCCCACCCCCCCCCACCACATCCCACCACCCCCACCACCCCCCCACCACCCCACCACCCCACCACCCCCACCACCCCCACCACCCCCCCATCACCCCCACCACCCCCCACCACCCCCACCACCCCCCCACCACCCCCACCACCCCACCATCACGCGTAGCCACCACCACCCCCACCACCACGACTCCACGGCACTGTGACTTCACACAGCTTTGTTGGTTGTATCACCCCGCTGCACACAGAAACCCACTGGTCGGGTTATTTTACTGAGCGGGGGGGGGGGGGGGGCGTTCACTCACGCGTAAACGTGTTCGGTTTAAACACATCTATTTACAATCTTGATTTGAAGCTTTCGTGACTGCGGGAATCCATACTCGTTGGTTCTTTCGGTAAATATTCTTAGGTTTTTTGCTCCTCGTGATTTTTTAAAAATTTTTTTTAATTAATTTTGATGTTTTACCTACGTGACTTTACCGAAAAAACCTAAGAATATGAATCCTTGCAGTCACGAAAGCTTCAAATCTAAAATCTTTCGGTAAAGTCACGTAGGTAGAAAAAATAATAGATCACGACGTTTCGATCGCCACACAAGCAATCGCCCAGAACCTCTCCCACCTGAAGGCGATTGCTTGTGTGGCGATCGAAACGTCGTAATTTATTTTATTTTATACCTACGTGACTTTACCGAAAGAACCAAAGAGTATGGATTCCTGCAGTCACGAACGCTTCAAATCAAGATTTAAACCAAGAGAGAGTATCTATTTACAACTTGAACCGTGCCGTTCGCTTGGTGTTTTCATCATTTATTTAAAAACGCCGCTGCTGTACAGTGGTGGCGGCTTGGCAATGAGAACATTAAGGTTGGGGGGGGGTCCCTCTTCATTAAAACGTGTAGAGCTGAACCAAACAAATATCATCGTGTCTGCATCTCTCATCTCACCACATCTCTACCCCTTGTCTCTATCTCTTCCGTCATCTCACGGGGAGTTTTATCATTTGAAAGGGGGGAAGGGGGGGGGGGGGTTCAACAATAATTTCATCTCAGTGACCGCAATGGGTCGGCACCACCACCACCACCAATGGCCCGAATTGCCACCCGCACCCTCAAAGGAGACCACATCACTCCAATCACTGCACCCCCAATCGCTGGACTCAATAAGGGTATTTGGCCTACTCTTCCATGCTGGCCAGAAGTATAAGGAAGAGGGTAATTGTGTGACAGATGCTGACTGCTGCTGCTGTGACCGCCTGCCTGCCTGCATGCATCACTTCGCGGTGAGGCAGGGAGACATTTCACCAATTCACACAACACCCATCGTTCTGGAAAGCCATTCGAGGTATTCACAACAGCTGCCACTTGCTTGCGCAATAGCGGCGGACTGCCAAGTAAAGAGCACAGCAAGGGGGGAGAGGGAGCAAGCAGATCGAGGCTGTGGTGGAGGGTGCTGAGATCTTTAGAGTCGATTCCATGTATTTATGTTAAACTTCTTTCGCACCGTACAACAAACGAAACAAAACTAACCAGGAGCTCAAGAGACCAGGATATCGAGGGTCATCAATTTGACAAAATCTAAACAATAAATCAAGTATAGCAACAATTTCGAACCCCTTTGCAATGATAATAATAATATCCCGTTATTTGTCAATACAGTTTTTGCCATTGCAGTTATTTTGTCATCTACCGCTGGATGAAGGCCTCCACACGCCGCATCGGTCATGGGCGCTGCTGCAGCGGGCGCCCAGAACCGATTCACGTGATGTTAGCCGTGGTCTGGAATCGAACTCAGGTAGCCCGGGTTCCGAGGGGATAGTGCGCTAACCACTACGCCACCGCTCCTCATGCTCCTAAGTTACAGTATTTGCTATTATGTGTATCCGACAAAATGTTAACGAATTTAACCCAAACTTGTGTGGCTTCGAGACAGCGTGAGACCACGCCACCCGGTACGCGCCCAGCATCGCGAGGTCCTGCAAGCCAAGCAGGGCCGAGTCCGCGCCGTGTCCGGATCGCAGTTTCAAGTTGGTTGTGCTTCACCAGATGAGAACTCGACGAGTTGACCCATCGCAGCTGCGCCGCCGGGTTCGTAGCGCAGCGCGATAGCTTCTACGTGACCCGCTGACCCCGCAGGTATGAAAAACGCACGCGTGGACTTTCCGGTTATGGGAGTGCCTCGCTGTTGGGGATGGGGGGGGGGGTATCGAGGTCGGCAGTGGTGGAGGTGAGTCGTGATGTTGACACTTGTCGGCATGCGACCCACGCGGCCGAGGCAGAACCGGTTCGTCCACATTCGGGTGGAGGAGTCAGCCACGGCTGAAGTCGTCGCAGCTGTTACCGCTGCGTCGCTTGACACGACTCTGACATTACAGTCGAGGTGGTTGTAGCGCCACACACACACAAGGTAGACAGAGGCAGACTTGAGAACACGTTTAAAGCGATCGTTCGTTTCCCGCCTGGTTCGTCGGCCACGACTTCTCGAGAGAAATGACGGCGAGAGGTGCCGGGGCTCCGCTCTGCGTGCCGCTCCTCCTCCTTCTCCTCGCCGCCGCCGCGATCCCCTCGGCTCGCTCAGGTGAGGTGGCCAGGTCATGGAAGGGTGGGGGGGGTAGAGTTAGGGGGGCAGCGAGCGTTAGGGTTAGGGGGCGAGGGTTCGGGTTATGTCCGGTGAGGCGGCCGAGTCAGGATTAGCGCTTCATCATTATTCCGGCCAGGGTTAGACGGTGAGGGCTAGGGGGTGAGGGCTAGGGGGTGAGGGCTAGGGGGTGAGGGCTAGGGGGTGAGGGCTGGGGGGTGAGGACTAGGGGGTGAGGGCTAGGGGGTGAGGACTAGGGGGTGAGGGCTAGGGGGTGAGGGCTAGGGGGTGAGGGCTAGGGGGTGAGGGCTGGGGGGTGAGGGCTAGGGGGTGAGGACTAGGGGGTGAGGACTAGGGGGTGAGGGCTAGGGGGTGAGGGCTAGGGGGTGAGGGCGAGGGGGTGAGGGCTAGGGGGTGAGGACTAGGGGGTGAGGACTAGGGGGTGAGGGCGAGGGGGTGAGGGCGAGGGGGTGAGGGTTATGCAGTGTCGAGCGAGGTGTTCAGGTGAAGGTAATGTTTAGGGGTTAAGGAGTATGGCAAGGGTTAGGGGTAAGGGTTGTTGATAGTTTAGGTGAGTTGGTCATGTGACAGTAAAGGTCCTGGTAAGGGTTTTGGGTAATGGTTATGGGTTAATGGTGTTGGGTTAATAAGTCCGGTGAGGGTTAGGGGGAAGTGGTCTGGGTTAGGTCGAGTGGGGCACCAGGAAAGGCGAAAGGATCAGTCAGGGTATTGGTAAGGGTTGGGTTAGGGTCAGGGTTGGGTTAGGGTATTGGTAAGGGGTGGGTCAGGGTATTGGTGAGGGTTGGAGTGAGGATTCGGGGTAGTTCAGGTGAGGAGGCGGTCACTGCGTCCCCAATCACTCGACTACCCTGAGCCTCTCCCATCGCGTCAGTCGCTCTATTCGAGCTGCGCGACGCAGCGATTTTGGCGGCCCTGAGCCAGCGATTAACGTTAACGACTTCCCTACAGCTGTTCGCGTGTGGTGGGGTAAAGTGTGGGTACCCCCCCCATCTCCTTCCAAGACGTCTCGCCAACGTGGAAGAGTAGACTGAGATCACCACTCTCGGGGTCTCCATAGGGCTCCCTCTAGTGGATGTCCGTCCGCCAGCTGTGGAGAGAAGCAAGCCATTGCAAGGCTGCGCCTTCATGATAAAGCAAAATAAGAATAGGCTTTGCCTTTTATGCCAATAACTAAAGCAGGTTTTAAGCTGCTCGTGTTTTCATCATTGTGATATTGGCAAAAAAGGTCACGTAGATTGTAACTGCGCCTTGATCTTAAGTGGAGATGTCAAAGCAAAATCGTGGCTTCTCGCGACTCCACGCGTTATTTACGCAAGAGGCCTTGCGCACGACTGTTAAAACATTCACCTGGCGCGTTGAACGAGCTCATCATCATCATCGTCCAATGACAACGGCTCTCATTGGTTTATCATGCCAGCGACAGCCGCGATGAATGTGATGAAACTGGTGTCGGCTTAGCAGCCGAAGGAGGAAACGCGCCTGAGAGGACGACCACCGTGGGAGACGGAGCGATGGGAGTCGTCTGCTGTGTGTGCAGGCGCGCGATGGATTGTGGCATCGGTGCGTGGAGGCCTTCATCCAGCGGTGGATAGATCACGGCGAATGACGAAGATGAACAATGCGCAAATAACTCGTTTTGATGCGCTGCTGGATCAAGGCCTTCCTTCACACGCCGTGTCGGCCATAGCTCGTGGTTTGACCATACTTCACCAATCTGGTCAGCGCGGGTCCCCCCGTGCCTCTTACGTAAACTGCTGACGGTGCGCCAACCACTGCGCCACCGCTCCCCGTATGCGTGTTAAATAACGAGACAAAAATAGCCTCAACGCATTCGTAAGTGACACCGTGGCCCTTACAAAGTAAATATATAATGGGCGACATGTCCGTCTGTTGAAGGCCGCAGGGGGTGGGGGAATTTGGAGTGGAGGTGACGAAACTATGCAAAGCAGATTCATACAAATCAGCCGTGCCTCGAGGAAGCTGCGGAAAGCCTTTGGGCTGATTCTCGTGACGTCACAATAGCGCGAGCCCCTCCCCTCCCCACCACAGCCTCCTCCTCAAAGGCGCAGTGGGGGCGGTGGCCCATTGCCTCCGGTGAACCTGAGCCACGTCTGCAAAGTCCCCGCCCGTGCGGGAGAATGGCTCGGCGGAAAGCAGAGACCGCAGAACTACTTCTGAGCTCCGCTTCCAAGTGCATTGTGGTTCACATGATGGGGGGGGGGGCGGGGCGGAGGGGGGCATATCACTTTCCCATCAGCTGTGTTGCGTCGGGAATGTTCGTCGCATGACGGGCAAACTCACGGCTTATTTATTTATTTATTCCGCAGTTCGACAATTAAGCGCGGAGACAAATGTGATGCAGTCGTCGGCGGCCGGGCTGAGATTCTGGTCTGGAATACTGGCCGCTGACGGGGAGCGAACTTGGCTGTCGAGTGCAGAGGCGTTAGTGGTCTCAGGCTGATCCCCGGTTACTGAACAAAAGCACCCCATCAAGTTTGATTCTCGCTTCATTTGGCGGGTCCCCAGCTCGGAGAACAAAATAAAATCTTGGCACGACTTTCACGTGACAAATATTAGCCGCTGTGGCAGAGCGCGTCAGTAAGTGCTGCTCCCCACAGGGCACTTGTAGGTGTAATGACGACCGGCACGCGTCATTCAATTATTAATTATCAAGAGTCTTTATAGTTGACAGGAACACTGTCCTCGAGCAGAGTTCAGTCGTCTCTCCAAGCGTCCCCCCCCTTGTGCTTCCCCTATTTATATCCCTCGAGCCCCCCCATTTCTCGAAGGTTCCCCGACTGACTTGTCACAGGCAATCCTCAAGCCCCCCCCTCCCCCCGTTCTCCAGCGGTTCTCAATCGCTCCCCTGTTAGTGGACCTTCGTTCCCCGTCCGTTGCGTTTGTGTCTCTCCAACAATCCCCCTTCAGTTCTCCGTCTCTCGCCAATCCCCTCCGAGGCCTCCCTCTCTTTGACTCCCCTTTCTCCGTCATCCACCCCACGTGGCCTCTCCCAGATTCGGGTCACCAAACGGAGGCCTCGCGTCGCCTCCTGAGTCAGCCACGTCAGGTTAAGTCGTCTCGCTGTCTTTTGGCCTTTTGCGGAGGGATTCCAACAGTAGCTCTGCAGTATCCACGTCCGCGCGTCCTTCTCGAACACGGAGGAGGGCCGCGTTGTTCTACCGGGGGGGGGATCTGAACTGGGTTTATGTCTCACGATGCAGCGTCGATGGCGTAAAGTTGTGGAAAAAAGATGAACGTGGTCTAAAAAAAGAAGTGAAATTAGAATGGGTTTTACCCGATCTGGCTATAAAACAGGTGTTTAGATTCATAATGAAGGTTTTTGGGTTAGATCGCACAAGTATAAATGTGTCGTAACCCTCCACCACCCGACACAGCCAGCAAGGTTTGTCACGGAAACAAAACGCGCTAATTAGTTTACTAATATAGTGTATAGTGTAGTGTTCAGTAGTGTAGTGTATAGTGTAGTGTAAAGTGTAGTTTTCAGTAGTGTAGTGTATAGTGTAGTGTATAGTGTAGTATACTACTTCAGCCCACTGGTGTGTAGGAGAGTACATCCACAACATTTAACCGATTTTGGGCGGTTGTGCAACCGGTTGCGAGCTGTAGAGACAGACTGGACTCCATCCGCTCAGCGATCCGTCACGGCCGCACTGAACCGCGCAATTCGTCACCATCCTGAACACGCCGCCTCAAATCTCCGTGTCGCTGCCAGTGCTCGCTCGCTGCTCGGACGCGGGCAGAGCGGTTCACGGAGACGTCCCGTTCCGTCTCCCTCCTCCTCCTCCCCCTCCTCCTCCCCTGCAGCCTGCGCACCCGACAGGTTCGAGTGCTCGGACCTCGTGTGCGTCCCGCTCACGGCGCAGTGCGATGGGGAATACGATTGTGCGGACTCGTCGGACGAGGCTTCGTGTCCCTGCACCTCCAACAGCTCGTTCAGCTGCTCGCCCGGCCACGTGAACGCGACGTGCTTACACCCCAAGTTGGTGTGCAACGGCATGCCGGATTGCGCCGATTCCTCCGACGAAGCGCGCTGCAGTAAGTGGGCGAGTGCGACGTCGTGATGAGACCGCCGCAGGCGGAGCGCTGTTCGGGGCGAGGGGTGGGAGGCTTGGGGAGGGGGTAAGCCCCCTCACCGATTGAATAAAGGAAAGTGAAAGAAACCCAACAAAACCTTTTCTGCAAGTTACTCAGTTTGCAAATGGCATATTTTTTCAATGTTGGGGTGAGCAGCCAATACTGCGATTTTTTGGGGGTTTGGCCACGGAATGATCTGGTCACATTTTGTTGTTGGTAATACCCTCCACCTACCCGGCACGGCCACAAACAATCAAATCGTCACGTGTAGCGAGCGTCTAACCACGGGCCAAATACGATTGTGTCAGCGCACGTGGATTGTCTCCGGGTGCTCCGGTTTCCACCCACGTGTATAAACACTCAATAGTTGCAGTGACGGACTAAGCTAGTGCGGGGCCGTAGCATGATGTTATAAAGGGGCCCTAAATAAAAAAGAAAACCACGTAAATATTAAAAAACCTTTTTAACTTGCATCGTCAAGTAATTGTAATTTTTTCATTTGCTATACAGCCAGATAATACGATAAATCGCTAACCTTAAACATCCAGTCGTTCATAAAAGTTGAAGGTAGTATACAGGGTGACCCAAAAAAAAACGGGCCCCAACTCTAATAGGCCCCGTGTGCACGGGGCCCGTTTTTTTTGGGTCACCCTGTACTATAGTAATAGAGCAAGTGCAGAATCATTGAATCGGAATTGATAGCTTGAAAGCATTTAGCGCGGTGCCCTTGAAAGTGCGAGGCCCGTAGCTGCATATGTAGCTACTTTTGCTACTAAGATAATCCGGCACTGATCAACTGGCTGAAAACATCTTATCATTTAGAGGACCGCAGAGCTTGGACCACAGCCCGACTGCTGCCTTCCCGCTCTTCTGCTGGACATTTGTGATAAAGAGCTTCATAGCTCATCGGATTCCACCGGTCCAAATAACGATTCTGATTCTGTTGTGCGACCAAAACTTCCACAGTCCGTCGTCGACTAGAATGGGAGGACGACTCGAGAAAAATTGACTGACTCCATTAATAGGCATGTGTGTGATGATGCGGGAGCAGTGGTGTCGCGATCCGAGTTTGAGTCACAGCTCATGGCCAACAGCAGCGACGAATATCTAAACCGGTGATGCCCCAACCCTGGTCCACTCAGCCTTAAATGACCACCCGGTTGCGCTGTGTGAACACCAGCATTGGTGAGACATTGGCGGCTGGACGTAATGCCGGCTACCCACTCTCTCGCGTACCTTGTTTAATAGGTGCTCGCTAACTAACAGCGTTTGCCCCAGTCTGTAATGTGTGTATGTTAAACTTCTTTTGCACCGTACGTAACCAACCGTGTGAATTGGAGGTGCGAGGGAAGGACGACAAACTAAACACAAAAAGCAGTTCTAAAGGGATCCGTTTTCAATATAGATGATGTAAAAGCACACAGCTCCAGCGGCTTCCTAATATCTGAAGGAAGAGCGTTCCAGACGGCCACAGAAGCGCATCCGAAAGCGCGTGCGACGGCTAGCCAAAAGCTGCTGCTGCTGCTGCCGCGAGGGTGACCGGAGTGCACGTGATGTTGGTCTACGCTCCTTGACGGAGAAGGCGACACGGTAAGGAGGGCAATCTCCATCCTTGTGCGCGCGCAGACTGCACGGGGGATGTGTTCCGATGCTCGTCGTCGGAGTGCTGGCCGGCGGAGAGGCGCTGCGACGGCGTCGCGGACTGCGCGGACGCCTCGGACGAGCTGGGCTGCCCGTGCCCGCGTGGCACCGTCGCCTGCACGAACGGCTCCTGCCTCCCCGCGTCGCTCGCGTGCAACGGCGTCGACGACTGCGGCGACCGCAGCGACGAGGCCAACTGCAGTGAGTCCCGGCGCCGTCGAACTCCTCTACATCCCCCCCTCCCCTTTACGTGGCGGGGGGTGGGGGGGGGGCGAGGAGGGGGGGGGCGTTGTGTGGGAGGGGGGGGGGCGAAGAGAAATATATATTCATGTTGATTTGAAGCTTTCGTGACTGCAGAAATCCATACTCTTTGGTTTTTTCGGTAAAGTCAGGTAAGTAGAAAAAGAAAAAAGAAAATTAAAAAATACATCACGACGTTTCTATCGCAACACAAGTGGTCGTCCTCAGGCAGAAAAAATAATCCAGCAGTAGAACTGCTGAAACCAGCGAGAGAGCTGTTACAACAAGAGGTTATATATGTGGCGTAGGGCGAGCAGGCGGGGTCTGAGTTGGAAAGGAATTTCATCCCCCCCCCCCCCACCATAGGAACGTGGAATTTCCACCACCAGCTCAGGCCTGTAAACGTGCGAGTTGAGCACCATCTCAATTGCTGCTCATTTGAGCGCAAAATCACTTTGACTCCTTTTTTGGGAGATGCCAACAGATGAAGGGATAGAGATGTCGGGCATATAGAAGAGAGCTCTGTGCTTCCTGTGTTTACTAGGGATGCTCTGGAGTTTTATTTTGAAACCTGGTCCTTGACTCAATTCAAGACATTGCATTCAGGGGCACAAGTCTCCCAACAAAGCAACACACCTTGAAAAATACGAGGTTCGATTTCTTCCTGCATATATTCCTGGGTGGTGGCACGTGACCATTCGTGGCAGCAGATATGTCGAGAGGCAGTGGACCGGACGCACCGTGCCGGGTACGGGCCCGGTTCTTTGCGGGTCGTCAACCCAGGCAGATCCTTGACGGATCGAGCCCATTCACGTCGCAGTCAACATTCAGGCGCCGTCTCTCTCCATGTTAAACGCAAGGTGTTTTTTTGTCATTTCCCCGCGACGAGGCTGTGGAGCGGACGAGTTCCGCTGCGGAGGCGGCAGCGGCGGGCAGTGCGTCCCGTCGCGCGAGCGCTGCGACGGGCACGCGGACTGCGTCGACGGTTCGGACGAGCGGGACTGCGCCGAGTGTGCGCCCGGCGCGTTCGCCTGCGCCAACGCGGTGTGCACCTCCTCGGCGTTCGCGTGCGACGGGGTCGACGACTGCGGAGACGACAGCGACGAGAGGAACTGCAGTGAGCGCCGTCACGTGCTTTCACGTTCTTCCGTCCGACATTAGGAAGCCCCTGGGCCCCCCCCCTGCACTTTTACGTGTCTTTACAACTGTTCTTGGCGCTTTGTGTGTTGTCCTTACCCCGCACCTCCGATGTGCGCGGTTGGCTACGCGCGTTGCGACTTGCGATAGAAGTTCAACAACGCGTACGCTGCTGCCAGAACAAAGATCTCATTCGACGTCGTTGTTGTTGTAACGCGTTCCCGACACAATGGCAGTCACTGCCGCGTTTGCTGTTCCTGTGCAACTTCACCCTTCCCCCGCTCGTGCTGAGGACACGGTCAACCGGACCGGCTGCTTTGTCTCGCCCACCACTCTGTGTTCAACCGCCGGGTCACGACAGCAGACTCGCCCACTCACTCAAACCCTCACTCGCCAACTCACTCACCCACAACCAATCCACCCACTAACACATTCACCCACTCACGACACTGCAGGTCACAACACGTATCTTCTGTTTCTTCTCTCGTACTGCTCCACTTTGGATTCTAAAGTACATTGAGGCAGTGCCCATCTCTCTTTTAGAGCCCTGAGCCAGTATTGGGGCGCCACAGTGGCTAGGAGATGTTCACTACCTCGCCTGGTGTACAGGAGGTCGTGAGTTCAATCCCGACCCTGACGCCTGGAGTTTGCGTGTCTCTCCCCGTGGTCGCGTGGATTTTTCTCCGATTCCACCAGTTTCCCCCTTTACATTTAGGATCGACGTCACGCGTTTAGAGTATTTGGCTGCTATAAATTTCTACATTATAAGCCCACTTCGTTGAGATATCATTTGTGGCCAGGTCGCTTCTGAAACAGAGCTATATAGCTTAGTGGGCCTGACCTGGTAAAATTAACAATATATAGTTTTAGCCGTTTAGTTTTTATAGACTATGACAGTCTCTCGATACGACAACCACTGTTGACTTACCCACAAAGTGGTACCAATTTTATATACCCCGGAGAGATGACGGGCTGAGCCAATTCCCAACCGAATTTGAACTCGCGACCTTTTTCGCTTGCTCGACCTCTGAGCCACCTAGGACAGCGCTGATAGTTGCCGGTCGCTTAGTGTTTAACGCAGTTGGGCCTGTGGTCATACAATTGAGATCAAAAGTACATTTCTATTATGCGCAAAATCAGACGCTCGCCTTAACCGCACGTTTCCGCAGGCTGCGTGCTGGGGGAGTTCACATGCGGAGGAGCAGGAGGCCTGTGCATCCCAAATCTCTACGTTTGCGACGGAGACACGGACTGCCCGGACGGCTCGGACGAGATCTGCGCACAGTGTCCACGCGACTCGTTCACCTGTGGCAACGGGGCCTGCACCTCCCCCTCGTTCGTGTGCGACGGAGCCGACGACTGCGGGGACTACAGCGACGAGCAGAACTGCAGTGAGTGCTGCACCTCTGCGTTCGTTTCTTCTTCTTCTTTGAATAATCGCTCGACTCGCCGTCGTGTGCGGTCAGAATGACACCTGGTCGCTGGCGCACGACGAGTGAGGAGCAGCTCACGAATGAACGAGCGCGTGTGAAATAAATGTATTTTTTACAAGCACGGTTTATCCGCAAGCTGGATCATGTCGCCACGGAAAATAGAAAATTGATTGTTATTTTTAAATCACATGCGTGAGCAGGGCTACATTCAGCCGTGTGTTTTCTGGGCAGGCTGTGTGATTGGGGAGTTCAGCTGCGGAGGAGGCCAGTGCATTCCATCTCTCTACCGCTGTGACGGAGACGCGGACTGCCTAGATGGCTCGGACGAGATCTGCGCGCAGTGTCCACGCGACTCATTCACTTGCGGCAACGGGGCCTGCATCTCCCCCTCGTTCGTGTGCGACGGGGCTGACGACTGCGGGGACTACAGCGACGAGCAGAACTGCAGTGAGTTGCTGAGACGCAGAGTCCCTTAGGTTGGGCCAAACGGTTTCGCAGAGGTCGTCATTGTGAACAACAACAAGGACGACAAAAACAACCTGCTTGGTCCGCAATCACTCCCCTTACCGAGCAATGACATCAAATGCCACCCCTCCACTTCTGGCGCTTCCAGATGCACTGCATGGGAGGCTTTAGCGGTATAAATAATCACGCTGTGATCGTTTTTTGGTTACATCTTACGTGGTCTGTACACTCTTGATTATCCGTGTGTTAATCCTCAACCATGACCAGGAGGGTTGAGGATGAACCGCGTTGGTAAAAAAATAAATACAGCGAAAATATCTTTGCGTGCACGCTGGCTTCGTCATTCGCCGCCCTTCACTCGTCGAGGGTGACAGACTTGTGATGGGGAAATGTCCGTGAACTCAACGGATTACTTTAAGAAACAATAAAACACGACCGATTCTTCACGTTCATTCACATGCTGCCAAGATTAACAATATGTTTTTGTAGCCTGATTTATAAGTGTCACGTGATCTATATCGTTGCCTTTTCGGCAACTACTCTAGAGATGTTTTGCATGTGCGCCGTATGCCCAGTTTTAGCGCGTGCTGTCCGGCTTTATGTCCGACGTTTCGCTCTACTTTCTGGGAGCTTGATCAGGAACTGAATTCTATATCATGACAAATCAGAGCGATGTTCAGTTCCAGAAGAAACTCCCCGGCAGGTGAAACGACACGCGGTACGACCCGTGAATGTGTCGTGGAAAATGTGTCAGCTCTTTTGTTTGTATCTCTTCCAGGCTGCGTGCTGGGGGAGTTCTCCTGCGGAGGAGCAGGAGGCCTGTGCATCCCAAATCTCTACGTTTGCGACGGAGACACAGACTGCCCGGACGGCTCGGACGAGATCTGCGCGCAGTGTCCACGCGACTCGTTCACCTGTGGCAACGGGGCCTGCACCTCCCCCTCGTTCGTGTGCGACGGAGCCGACGACTGCGGGGACTACAGCGACGAGCAGAACTGCAGTGAGTGCTGCACCTCTGCATTCGTTTCTTCTTCTTCTTTGAATAATCGCTCGACTCGCCGTCGTGTGCGGTCACAATGGCACCGAGTTGCTGGCCTTCGATGAGTGAGAATCAGCTCATGAATTAACCAGCGCGTGCGAAATATATATTTTGTACAAGCATAGTAAACCTGAAACCAGGAACATACTGCCATGGATAGTCGAAAATGTATTGTCATTTTGCAATCACATACGTGAGCAGGACGACATTCAGCCGTGTGTTTTTTTCTGGACAGGCTGTGTGATTGGGGAGTTCAGCTGTGGAGGAGGCCAGTGCATCCCATCTCTCTACCGCTGTGACGGAGACGCGGACTGCCCAGACGGCTCGGACGAGAGCCGCTGCACCGATTGTCCACTCGACTCCTTCCAGTGCGGCAACGGGGCCTGCACCTCCCCCGCGTTCGTGTGCGATGGAGCTGATGATTGTGGAGACTACAGCGACGAGCAGAACTGCAGTGAGTTGTGAACATTCGCGTGCTTACGTTGGTACACGCAACACGATTGCGTTGCACGTCGTATTTTAAGCAATTATTGATGGGAAATAAATTACAGCCCAGTGCTACTTCACTGCTGGATGAATACTTGTCCACGCGCCATGTTGATGGAGATCGTTGGGCTGAAACCTGAACTCGCCGTTGAGTGTGGGTCGGTGAAGAGAAGGCCTAAGGCCTGCTCAGATGTCGTGCTCCCTTCATGGTAACTGGCCATGGATGGGAATTGAACTCAGGTTTGCCGGTTTTATATTTCAGTGCGCTAACCACTGTGCCACCGCTCCACCCCCAAACCGTTGTCTTACTGAAGCTCTGTAATACTCTGCAAAGCTAAAACTCTGCACGTTTGTCAATAACATGAATGGATATCAGGCAACGTTTTAGGCAATGGCCCTTCTTCATAAGAGAGTGAAAGAAGGGCCTTGATTCCGAAGCGCGAACCATTATTTATTTGATTGATGGTTACGGAAGTGTCATTCACCAATGTGGCGAGCGTTTGCTGTCCGTGCTTGCGCACCACTGCCATCGTGGCAGCAGAGGCACTAGAGTTGTTGTGAACAATCACGACATCGCTTGCACAAGTGGACCTACGTTCATTCACGTTTTTCTGGACAGGCTGCGTGCTGGGGGAGTTCAGCTGCAGATCAGGAGGCCTGTGCATCCCATCTCTCTACCGCTGTGACGGAGACACGGACTGCCCGGACGGCTCGGACGAGAGCCGCTGCACCGATTGTCCACCCGACTCCTTCCAGTGCGGCAACGGGGCCTGCACCTCCCACTCGTTCGTGTGCGATGGAGCTGACGACTGTGGGGACTACAGCGATGAGCAGAACTGCAGTGAGTGCTGCACTTTCGTGTTCGTTTGCCAAAGCAATAAATGTCACCACTTATCACTTACCTTCATTGCCATTGCTATATTATTAATTCTTGCTTATCTGGGGTAATGGACAGGGGTGGCCCAGATACAATTTAAAGATGGTGAATTTATTGCAGAATGCGGGTGAAGAGAGTGATTGTGTTGCCTGTGTTTGTTCCTTCTTCACCTAATCGCTCGACTCGCCATCGTGTGCGGTGACAATGGCAACGAGTTGCTGGTCCTCTATGAGTGAGGAGCAGCTCATGAATTATCCAGCGCTTGTAAAATGTATATTTTGTACAAGCATAGTAAATCTGAAACAGGATAATGCTTGCCATGGATAGTCTAGAATTGATTGTCATGTTGAAATCACATACGTGAGCAGGACGACATTCAGCCGTGTGTTTTTTTCTGGACAGGCTGTGTGATTGGGGAGTTCAGCTGTGGAGGAGGCCAGTGCATCCCATCTCTCTACCGCTGTGACGGAGACACAGACTGCCCAGACGGCTCGGACGAGAGCCGCTGCACCGATTGTCCACTCGACTCCTTCCAGTGTGGCAACGGGGCCTGCACCTCCCCCGCGTTCGTGTGCGATGGAGCTGATGATTGTGGAGACTACAGTGACGAGCAGAACTGCAGTGAGTTGTGAACATTCGCGTGCTTACGTTGGTACACGCAAAACGATTGCGTTGCACGTCGTATTCTAAGCAATTATTGATGGGAAATAAATTACAGCCCAGTGCTACTTCACTGCTGGATGAATACTTGTCCACGTGCCATGTTGATGGAGATCGTTGGGCTGAAACCTGAACTCGCCGTTGAGTGTGGGTCGGTGAAGAGAAGGCCTAAGGCCTGCTCAGATGTCGTGCTCCCTTCATGGTAACTGGCCATGGATAAGAATTTAACTCAGGTTTGCCGGTTTTATATTTCAATGCGCTAACCACTGTGCCACCGTTCCACCCCCAAACCGTTGTCTTACTGAAGCTCTGTAATACTCTGCAAAGCTAAAACTCTGCACGTTTGTCAATAACATGAATAGATATCAGGCAACGTTTTAGGCAATGGCCCTTCTTCATTAGAAAGTGAAAGAAGGGCCTTGATTCCGAAGCGCAAACCATTATTTATTTGATTGATGGTTACGGAAGTGTCATTCACCAATGTGGCGAGCGTTTGCTGTCCGTGCTTGCGCAACACTGCCATCGTGGCAGCAGATGCACTAGAGTTGTTGTGGACAATCACGACATCGCTTGCACAAGTGGACCTACGTTCATCCACCTTTTTCTGGACAGGCTGCGTGCTGGGGGAGTTCAGCTGCAGATCAGGAGGCCTGTGCATCCCGTCTCTCTACCGCTGTGACGGAGACTCGGACTGCCCAGACGGCTCGGATGAGGGCCACTGCACCGATTGTCCACTCGACTCCTTCCAGTGCGGAAACGGGGCCTGCACCTCCCCCTCGTTCGTGTGCGATGGAGCTGACGACTGTGGAGACTACAGCGACGAGCAGAACTGCAGTGAGTGCTGCACTTTCGTGTTTGTTTGCCAAAGCAATAAATGTCACCACTTATCACTTACCTTCATTGTTATTGCTATATTATTAAATCTTGCTTATCTGGGGTAATGGACAGGGGTGGCCCAGATACAATTTAAAGATGGTGAATTTATTGCACAATGGGGGTGAAGAGACGGATTGTGTTGCCTGTGTTTGTTTCTTCTTCACCTAATCGCTCGACTCGCCATCGTGTGCGGTGACAATGGCAACGAGTTGCTGGTCCTCGATGAGTGAGGAGCAGCTCATGAATTATCCAGGACATGTAGAATATATATTTTGTACAAGCATAGTAAATCTGAAACCAGGATAATGCTGCCATGGATAGTCTAGAATTGATTGCCATGTTGAAATCACATACGTGAGCAGGACGACATTCAGCCGTGTGTTTTTCTGGACAGGCTGTGTGATTGGGGAGTTCAGCTGTGGAGGAGGCCAGTGCATCCCATCTCTCTACCGCTGTGACGGAGACGCGGACTGCCCAGACGGCTCGGACGAGAGCCGCTGCACCGATTGTCCACCCGACTCCTTCCAGTGTGGCAATGGGGCCTGCACCTCCCCCTCGTTCGTGTGCGATGGAGCTGACGACTGTGGAGACTACAGCGACGAGCAGAACTGCAGTGAGTTGTGAACATCTGCCTCTATACGTTGTTACCAACATGCATGTTATCTATTTAATGCACAGTAAATTTTCACGATCAATATTGTGATTCGTAATTGATTTTTGGGTTAGATCACATGAACAAAATCCACGTGGTAGACCCTCCTCCACTCGACACAGCCATTTCATAGAATTGTCACGTGAACAAATGTGCCAATGTATTTCTGCTTCAGCACACCACTGTGTCGTAGAGCAATCCACAACATTGAACAATTGGGTACGACGTTTCGCTGAGAGTTATAATCAGCAGCATCAGGCAGTTGCCAGAATTGTGAAAATGTCCTCCAGTGTTGGGCCCTAAATAGGTGGTGTGATGTCATCAGTGTGTGTCCACAAGGGAGCAGGAAGTGGCAGGAAGTGATACCTAAAGATTAATGCATTAGCATACATTATAAATTGTTAGATCACAATCACTGATGTGATATATGTCAATATGAAGGTTTATATGGTGAAACAGGTTAGTAATAGCGAATTAGCTATACTGGAGGGTTATGTTATGTTATAATAGATTATGTTAGATATGTCAATATACATATATATTTACGTGGTGATACTGGTGAGTCATAGTTATTCAGTTTAGCTTTATATACATTTAATCAAAAAACTATGACGTTAATGCAATGTCCCATTTTAACAATTATATCAAAAGAAGTAGTAACAGCATGGACGGGATGTTATGGAAGTGACGTCACTTTTTGCGACGTCACATTTTTGTGACAGTCGAAAACAAACATTTTGGATCATTTTATGTTTCGTACCTTTAGGCCCCGATTTCTGTCTTCAGATTAATGAAACGTTCAGGAAATAATGAACATTCTCAGTGATGACTGGGTGCTGCCAAGCTCGACATAAATTCATCTGGATGTAGGTACTCAAGCTAACACATTCTTCTGGACAGGCTGTGCGAATGGAGAGTTCAGCTGTGGAGGAGGCCAGTGCATCCCATCTCTATACCGCTGTGACGGAGACGCGGACTGCCCAGACGGCTCGGACGAGAGCCGCTGCACCGATTGTCCACTCGACTCCTTCCAGTGTGGCAACGGGGCCTGCACCTCCCCCTCGTTCGTGTGCGATGGAGCTGACGACTGTGGAGACTACAGCGATGAGCAGAACTGCAGTGAGTAGAAAAACCTCGCGTTATCGACATTGGCATTCGATGAGGGAACACCCTCCTCGTGCTGCATTGGTTTCTTCGGTACACATTGACTCACCCTGAGTTTCTCTTCGAAGGCTGTGGAACGGATGAGTTCCGCTGTGGAGGAGGCGAGTGCATCCCATCCATCTACCGCTGTGACGGAGACGTGGACTGCCCGGACGGCTCGGACGAGACGAGGTGCACCGATTGTCCACCCAACTCGTTCACCTGCGGCAACGGGGCCTGCACCTCCCTCTCGTTCGTGTGCGACGGGGCCGACGACTGTGGGGACTACAGCGACGAGCAGAACTGCAGTGAGTGCCCATAATTCTTATCGATATAGGCGAGGTGTACTTATGTATGTATGTGTTGCACACTCGAAATGAAGGACGTGGGCAGGTGCGCCAAATCGAGGGCAAGCACATTTATTGTGGTTAATCTGTATTCTTGTGAAGAACAGCACCGCCACTCTGTAAAATGCACCAGCACGTGTGTCACACACAGTAATTCTTCCGAGCCACCATTAACCATGTGGCTGGTGTCCAAGTGCAGTTAATCATTAACAGTTTTTTCTTAAACCCAATTCTACTACTGATAAACCATCTTTGTCTTTAACAATCACATTTGCACATCACTATTCGAATATTCCTTTAACCCTAAGCTGTATGTCTATCGATACCATCCACTTATATCGGTATCTTACACCCATTATATGTACTGTATGTGTACAGTATACGTATTGTATGTGTCACCATTGTACAACTTACTACTTTACATGTGTTCTATTCTCAATAGTATTGCAAGTAGTCATACTCTGGGTGCATGGGCATGGTTATAGAGTAAATAGTATTAGAGTTAGAGAATTACAATGACAGTAGGTAATTAAAGTGCGTCATCCTTTACAATGCACAGTGCTAAAACCACTGTAATTGCATATGTCACAAACGAACAATTCAAAGCCAAGCTTAAAGTCTAGAACAAGTCTAGAACATTTATATAACGATCAAAAACAACATTGGGTCCTTTACCTGTAAAATGCACCAGCACGTGCGTCACGCAGCAATTCTTCCGAGTCGCCATTAACCATGTGGCTGGTGTCCAAGTCCGGTTATTCAATAACCCTGCCAGCCACCTACAGGCCCAACTCAGTCATCACATGCTGCTGTACACACATGCATTGAAGCATTGCACAGCACATCAGGACTTTCACAGAACCATACTTTACTCCCTTGCTGCACAAGGACATAATTAAAAGAGTGGCCCCTTCCTAATGTGCCACATATGTTGAAATTCTTATCCACCGTATGTAGCCAACCTTGCTAATCGGAGGAGCATGGAGGTGCGACGTAGGATTTGTATTTTGTTTTTTTCGAGTGGATGCTGGTATGGTGGCACAATGATCATCCTGGAATTGCAATCCAGAGGGCTCTGCTTCAATGTCCGGGTGGGACAGTTGTAACGATGGCGCGGATTTACTTCACTCCCACCTCCACTGCCGCATACGTCCACCCAGCAGTTTCAATGGCAACAGCGCAGTTAATCTTTTGGCAGGTCGCGTGTGATGGAGGGCTAAGAGTGTGGGCACCCGTACCTTATCCAAGATGTCTCGAAAGAGGGGAAGAGTAGACCAAACACCGTCCACTAGTGGGTTTCTCCAGAGCTCCCTCGAGTGCAGGCCATTTCGTCAGCAGTGACATGTGTGAGCAATTGCAGGACTGCGTTTTTACCCTTGTATGGGGAGCAACTGTTGACGTTTCACCCATTGTTTTTCATGATATGACAATTGTTTTTGGTTTTCCCTTCAACACCAGGCCAGTGTGTAGTGTCGTGTTCACTGTGACCTGTGTTTGTGCCCTGTCAGGCACTCAGTCTTTTTCTCGTCCACGTGACGAAGAGCAAATGTGCTGTTGTCGAACTCAATTGCGAGGGTAGCGACGGAAGGGTTTACTTTTACGACGAACGACGTCAATCCTCCTATCTCTTGTCCCCTGGCCAGGCTGCGGCAACGACGAGTTCCGTTGTGGCTCGGGAGAGTGTGTGCAGCTGATATATCGCTGTGACGGAGACACGGACTGCCCAGACGGCTCGGACGAGAGCCGCTGTACCGATTGTCCACCCGACTTCTTCCAGTGCGGCAACGGGGCTTGCACCTCCCCCTCGTTCGTGTGCGATGGAGCTGACGACTGTGGAGACTACAGTGACGAGCAGAACTGCAGTGAGTGGAATAACCATGAAGTTATCAATATTGGCATTCGATGATGGAACACCATATTGATAGTGCTGCCGTTAAACCCGCCACCACCCGACACAGCCAATTAGTAAGGGTTGTCACTTAAACAAAACATGCCAATTCATTACTAGTACAGCACACCGGTGTGTTGAAGAGCAAATCCACAACAACAACCATCTGAGTACGACGTATCGCCAGTAATTACAAACGGCATTATCAACCGGCAGCCAGATTTGTGGAGACATCAACCTGTTTCGTTCCTTAAATAGAGGGATAGATGTGATGATGTCACTTGTGAGCCCTTCGTGTGCAAAGTTGGGGGGGGGATTAATGAATGCATATGCATTACAATGGGTATCCATTCACGTTTCGGTTATTTATATGGTAATCAATGTACATTATGCATGTACATTATTCTTGTATCCACTTAAGGAGCGAAACAGGAGGATTTCTCCGCAAATCTGGCGACCGCCTGATGAGGCTTGTCGTAATTACTGGCGAAACGTCATACTCAGATTGTGAATGTGGATTTGCTCTCCAACATACTGGTGTGCTGTACTAGCAACGAATTGGAATGTTCTATTTACATGACAAACCTTACTAAATGGATGTGTCGGGTGGCGGTGGTTTGAACGACACCTTTATAGTTGCCTGATCTAACCGATAAAAAAGCTGTGTTATGGATGATTTTGGTCGCAAAAGCCATCGTGTTAAACTGGTAGTGCTGCATTGGTTTACTTCTTTACTTGGTACACATTGATTGACACTGTGTTTTATGTTTCAAGGCTGTGGAGCGGATGAGTTCCGCTGCAGAGGAGGTGAGTGCATCCCATCCGACTACCGCTGTGACGGAGACTCGGACTGCCCAGACGGCTCGGACGAGAGCCGCTGTACCGATTGTCCACATGACTCCTTCCAGTGCGGCAATGGGGCCTGCACCTCCCCCTCATTTGTGTGCGATGGTGCTGATGACTGTGGAGACTACAGCGACGAGCAGAACTGCAGTGAGTGGAATAACTCTGAAGTAATCAATATTGGCATTCGATGATGGAACACCATATTGATATTGCTGCCGTTCAACCCACCACCACTCGACACAGCCAATTAGTAAGGGTTTTCACGTACACAGAACATGCCAATTCATTACTAGAAGAGCACACCGGTGTGTTTGAGTGCAAATCCACAACATTTACAATCTGAGTACGATGTTTAATCAGTAATCATAACCGGCATCATCAGGCAGCAGCCAAATTTGTGGAGAAATCCTCCTGTTTTGTGCCTTAAATAGAGTAATGGATGTGATGACATCATTTGTGAGCCAATCTTGTGTGAAGTTGGAGGAGATTAGTGAATAGATATAAATTACAATTAGTATCCATTACCGGTTGGGTTATTCATATGCTAATGATCTTACATCAAGCATGCACATTATGCATGCACATTGTTCTTGTACCCCCTTCAGGAACAAAACAGGAGGATTTCTTTACAAAACTGGCCGCTGCCTGATGGTGCCGGTGCTAATTATTGGCGAAACGTACCCAGATTGTAAATGTTGTGGATTTGCCCTCCAACACACCGGTGTGCTGAACTAGTGTAATGAGCGACTTCCGCGACACGTCGTGTAGAGGGTACTTCTTCTTTATTATTCACACTGGGCACAACACAGGCCAACACTTATTCCTTCTCACACTGAGTACAACATGAGGTATTAACGTCTCTACTGGCTACACACAGCCGATCACTCGGCATGGTCCCATCGCCCTCACTCGGCTTCGACGCTGGCTGGCGGCGTGACAATGACGGCGATGGAAACCACGCAGGAGATCTTCCACGTGGCCAGATGACAGAGAGAGATGATGGCGAGCAGCGATGCAGCCAGGACCCAGACCCCACACACGAGCCCCGAGCCCCGGGTCCGCTCCCCCTTATATCCCCCCAGGCGTGGCTAGGCCCCGCCTCCCGCCACGCCTTCTAGTAGAACTTTGGAACAGGTTCCCCGGGTTTCTCGGCTATCCCCACCTTTCACCTTTGCCCCAGATACACCTCCTTCTCTGATTGGTTGTTACTTAACCGTGCCAGTACCCTTGATTCCCTACCAGTCCAGCAGGTGTGACCATGTCATTACACTAGTAACGAATTGGCATGTTCTGTTTACGTGACAAACCTTCCTAATTGGCTGTGTTGGGTGGTGGTGGGTTTAACGACACATTTATCTTCATGCGATCTAACCCCCCAAAAAATCTGTATTATGGATGATATTCATCGGGAATGCCTATGTGTTAAACTGGTAGTGCTGCATTGGTTTACTCGGTACACATTGATTGACACTGTGTTTTTCTTTGAAGGCTGTGGAGCGGATGAGTTCCGCTGCGGAGGAGGTGAGTGCATCCCATCCGGCTACCGCTGTGACGGAGACTCGGACTGCCCAGACGGCTCGGACGAGGGCCGCTGCACCGATTGTCCACCCGACTCCTTCCAGTGCGGCAACGGAGCCTGCACCTCCCCCTCGTTCGTGTGCGATGGAGCTGACGACTGCGGGGACTACAGCGATGAGCAGAACTGCAGTGAGTGGAATAACCCTGAAGTTATCAATATTGGCATTCGATGATGGAACACCATATTGATAGTGCTGCCGTTAAACCCGCCATCACCCGACACAGCCAATTAGTAAGGTTTGTCACTTAAACAAAACATGCCAATTCATTACTAGTACAGCACACCGGTGTGTTGAAGAGCAAATCCATAACAATAACCATCTGAGTACGACGTTTCGCCAGTAATTACAACCACCATTACCAACTGGCAGCCAGATTTGTTGGGACATCCTCCTGTTTAATTCCATAAATAGAGGGATAGATGTGATCACTTCACTTTTGAGTCATTCTTGTGCAAAGTGGTAGGGGATTCATGAATGCAAATGAATTACAATGGGTTTCCATTACCTGTTGGGATATTTATATGGTAATCAGCTTAGATTATTCATGCACATTATTCTTATACCCCCTTAAGGAGCGAAACAGGAGGATTTCTTTACAAATCTGGCTGCTGCCTGATGATGCCGGTGCTCATTACTGGCGAAACGTATTCAGATTGTAAATGTGGATTTGCTCTCCAACACACCGGTGTGCTGTACTAGTAACGAATTGGCATGTTCTATGTAAATGACAAACTTACTTCATGGCTGTGTCGGGTGGCGGTGGTTTGAACGACACCTTCATAGTTGCGTGATTTACCCGATAAATAAGCTGTATTATGGATAATTTTGGTCGCGAATGCCTCCATGTTAAACTGGTAGTCCTGCATTGGTTTACTCGGTACACATTGATTGACACTGTGTTTTTCTTTGAAGGCTGTGGAGCGGATGAGTTCCGCTGCGGAGGAGGTGAGTGCATCCCATCCGGCTACCGCTGTGACGGAGACTCGGACTGCCCAGACGGCTCGGACGAGGGCCGCTGCACCGATTGTCCACCCGACTCCTTCCAGTGCGGCAACGGGGCCTGCACCTCCCCCTCGTTCGTGTGCGATGGAGCCGACGACTGTGGAGACTACAGCGACGAGCAGAACTGCAGTGAGTGGAATAACTCTGAAGTTATCAATATTGGCATTCGATGATGGAACACCATATTGATAGTGCTGCCGTTAAGCTCGCCACCACCCGACACAGCCAATTAGTAAGGTTTGTCACGTAAACAAAACATGCCAATTCATTACTAGTACAGCACACCGGTGTGTTGAAGAGCAAATCCACAACATTTACCATCTGAGTACGACGTTTCGCCGGTAATTACAAACGACATTATCAATTGCAGCCAGATTTGTGGAGACATCCTCCTATTTCGTTCCTTAAATAGAGGGATAGATGTGATGACGTCAATTGTGAGCCCTTCTTGTGCAAAGTGGGGGGGGGGGATTAATGAATATATATGCATTACAATGGGTATCTATTACTGGTTTGGTTATTTATCTGGTAATCAACGTACGTTATGGATGCACATTATGCATGCATATTGTTTTTGTACCCCCTTAAGGAGGGAAACAGAAGGATTTATTCACAAATCTGGCTACCACCTGATGATGTCCATTGTAATTACTGGCGAAACGTCATACTCAGATTGTAAATGTGGATTGGCTCTCCAACACACCGGTGTGCTGTACTAGTAACAAATTGGCATGTTCTATTTACATGACATACCTTACTTAATGACTGTGTCAGGTGGCGGTGGTTTGAATGACACCTTCATAGTTGCGTGATCTAATCGATAAAAAAGCGGTGTTTTGAATGATTTTGGTCATGAAAGCCTCCATCTTAAACTGGTAGTGCTGCATTGGTTTACTCGGTACACATTGATTGACACTGTGTTTTTCCTTGAAGGCTGTGGAGCGGATGAGTTCCGCTGCAGAGGAGGTGAGTGCATCCCATCCGGCTACCGCTGTGATGGAGACTCAGACTGCCCAGACGGCTCGGACGAGGGCCGCTGCACCGATTGTCCACCCGACTCCTTCCAGTGCGGCAACGGGGCCTGCACCTCCCCCTCGTTCGTGTGCGATGGAGCTGACGACTGTGGAGACTACAGCGACGAGCAGAACTGCAGTGAGTGAAATAAACCTGAAGTTGTCAATATTGGCATTCGATGATGGTACACCCTATTGGTAGTGCTACCGTTAAACCGGCCACCACCCGACACAGCCAATTAGTAAGGTTTGTCACGTAAACAAAACATGCCAATTCATCACTAGCACAGCACACCGGTGTGTTGGAGAGCAAATCCACAACATTTACACTCTGAGTACTATGTTTTGTCAGTAATTACAACCGGTATCATCAGGCGGCAGCCAAATTTGTGGAGAAATCTTCCTGTTTTGTGCCTTAAATAGAGTAATGAATGTGATGACATCACTTGTGAGCCAATCTTTTGTGAAGTGGGAGGGGATTAGTGAATACATATAAATTACAATGGATATCCATTACCGGTTGGGTTATTAATATGGTAATAAGCTTAGATTATTCATGCACATTGTTTTTCTACCCCCTTAAGGAGCGAAACAGGAGGATGTCTCCTCAAATCTGGCTACTGCCTGATGATGCTCGTTGTAGTTAGTGGCAAAACGTCGTACTCAGATTGTAAATGTGGATTTGCTCTCCAACACACCGGTGTGCTGTACTAGTAACAATTTGGTATGTTCTATTTACATGACAAACCTTACTTAATGGCTGTGTCGGGGGGCAGTGGTTTGTACGACACCTTTATAGTTGCGCGATCTAACCGATAAAAAAGCTGTATTATGGATGATTTTGGTCATGAAAGCCATCTTGTTAAACTGGTAGTGCTGCATTGGTTTACTCGGTACACATTGATTGACACTGTGTTTCTCTTTGAAGGCTGTGGAGCGGATGAGTTCCGCTGCGGAGGAGGTGAGTGCATCCCATCCGGCTACCGCTGTGACGGAGACTCGGACTGCCCAGACGGCTCGGACGAGGGCCGCTGCACCGATTGTCCACCCGACTCCTTCCAGTGCGGCAACGGGGCCTGCACCTCCCCCTCGTTCGTGTGCGATGGAGCTGACGACTGTGGAGACTACAGCGACGAGCAGAACTGCAGTGAGTGGAATAAACCTGAAGTTATCAATATTGGCATTCAATGATGGAACACCATATTGATAGTGCTGCCGTTAAGCCCGCCACCACCCGACACAGCCAATTAGTAAGGTTTGTGACGTAAACAGAACATGCCAATTCATTACTCGAAGAGCACCCTGGTGTGTTTGAGAGCAAATCCACAACATTTACAATCTGAATACGACGTTTCGCCAGTAATTACAACCGGCATTATCAACCGGCAGCCAGATTTGTTGAGACATCCTCCTGTTTCGTTCTTTAAATAGAGGGATAGATGTGATCACTTCGCTTGTGAGTCATTTATGTGCAAAGTGGTAGGGGATTACTGAATGCATATGAATTACAATGGGTATCCATTACCGGTTGGGTTATTAATATGGTAATCAGCTTAGATTATTCATGCACATTGTTCTTATACCCCCTTAAGGAGCGAAACAGGAGGATGTCTCCACAAATCTGGCTACCGCCTGATGATGCTCGTTGTAATTAGAGACGAAACGTCGTACTCAGATTGTAAATGTGGATTTGCTCTCAAACACACCGGTGTGCTGTACTAGTAACAAATTGGCACGTTCTATTTACATGACAATCCTTACTTAATGGCTGTGTCGGGTGGCGGTGGTTTGAACGACACCTTTATAGTTGCGCGATCTAACCGATAATAAAGCTGTATTATGGATGATTTTGGTCGCGAATGCCTCTATGTTAAACGGGTAGTGCTGCATTGGTTTACTCGGTACACATCGATTGACACTGTGTTTCTCCTTGAAGGCTGTGGAGCGGATGAGTTCCGCTGCAGAGGAGGTGAGTGCATCCCATCCGGCTACCGCTGTGACGGAGACTCGGACTGCCCAGACGGCTCGGACGAGGGCCGCTGCACCGATTGTCCACCCGACTCCTTCCAGTGCGGCAACGGGGCCTGCACCTCCCCCTCGTTCATGTGCGATGGAGCCGACGATTGTGGAGATTATAGCGACGAGCAGAACTGCAGTGAGTGGAATAACCCTGAAGTTATCAATATTGGCATTCGATGATGGTACACCCTATTGGCAGTGCTGCCATTAAACCAGCCACCACCCGACACATCCAATTAGTAAGGTTTGTCACGTAAACAGAACATGCCAATTCATTACTAGCACAGGTCACTGATGTGTTAGAGAACAAATCCACAACATGTACAATCTGAGTAGGATGTTTTGTCAGTAATTACAAACGGCATCATCAGGCGGCAGCCAAATTTGTGGAGAAATCCTCCTGTTTTGTGCCTTAAATAGAGTAATGGATGTGATGACATCACTTGTGAGCCAATCTTGTGTGAAGTGGGAAGAGATTAGTGAACAGATATATATTACAATTAGTATCCATTACCGGTTGGGTTATTCATATGCGAATGAACTTACATCAAACATGCACATTATGCATGCACATTGTTCTTGTAACCCCTTGAGGAACAAAACAGGAGGATTTCTTTACAAATCTGGCTACTGCCTGATGATGCCGGTGCTCATTACCGGCGAAACGTATTCAGATTGTAAATGTGGATTTGCTCTCCAACACACCGGTGTGCTGTACTAGTAATGAATTGGCATGTTCTATGTAAATGACAAACCTTACTTGATGGCTGTGTCGGGTGGCAGTGGTTTGAACGACACCTTTATATTTGCCCGATCTAACCGATAAAAAAGCTGTATTATGGATGATTTTGGTCGCGAATGCCTCCATGTTAAACTGGTAGTGCTGCATTGGTTTACTCGGTACATGTTGATTGACACTGTGTTTCTGTTTCAAGGCTGTGGAGCGGATGAATTCCACTGCAGAGGAGGTGAGTGCATCCCATCCGGCTACCGCTGTGACGGAGACTCGGACTGCCCAGACGGCTCGGACGAGAGCCGCTGCACCGATTGTCCACCCGACTCCTTCCAGTGCGGCAACGGGGCCTGCACCTCCCCCTCGTTCGTGTGCGATGGAGCTGACGACTGTGGAGACTACAGCGACGAGCAGAATTGCAGTGAGTAGAAAAACCTCGCGTTATCGACATTGGCATTCGATGAAGGAACACCCTCCTCGTGCTGCATTGGTTTCTTCGGTACACATTGACTCACCCTGAGTTTCTCTTCGAAGGCTGTGGAACGGATGAGTTCCACTGTGGAGGAGGCGATTGCATCCCATCCATCTACCGCTGTGACGGAGACACGGACTGCCTAGATGGCTCGGACGAGAGCCGCTGCACCGATTGTCCACTCGACTCCTTCCAGTGCGGCAATGGGGCCTGCACCTCCCCCGCGTTCGTGTGCGATGGAGCTGACGACTGTGGGGACTACAGCGACGAGCAGAACTGCAGTGAGTTGTGAACATCTGCCTCTTCATGTTGTTACAAATATACATCTTATCAATTTAATAGACACTAAACCTTTGCGAGCCAACATTGTGATTAAAAAATTATTATCACGTGAAAAGATGTTCCAATGTGTTTCTGCTTCAGCACACCACTGTGTTATAAAGCAATCCATTATATTTTACCATTAGGCGTCACGTTTCACTGATAGTTACAATTGGCAGCATCAGGCAGTTGCCAGAATTGTGAAAATGTCCTCCAGTGTTGGGCCCTAAATAGGTGGTGTGATGTCATCAGTGTGTGCCCACAAGGGAGCAGGAAGTGGCAGGAAGTGATACCTAGAAATGAATGCATTAGCATACATTATACAATGTATAGATCACAGTCAATTACGCGATGTATGTTAATATGAAGGTTTGCACAGTGAAACAAGTTAGTCATCGCTAATCAGTTATAATAGAAGGTTATGGTAGATCATAATAGATGTTAGAAATAGCAAGATACACATATATACGTGGTGATACTGCTTAGTCATAGTTATTCAGTTTAATTGTATACATACGTTTAATCAGAATAACTATAACTTCAATGCCATGTTTTATATTTTCATGATGCATCAAAAGAGACGACAAAAGACTGCATTTGAAGCAGTAACAGCGTGGAGGGGATATCATGGAAGTGACGTCACTTCTTGTATCAATCCAAAACAAAACTTTCCGGGTTACTTAATATTTCATACCTCGGCTTGCTTTTTTATTTTTCAGATTAATATAATTTTCAGGAACTCATTAATACATGTCGTGATGACTGTGGGTGCTACCAAGCCTGCCAGAAATTAATCTGGATGTAGGTACTCAAGCTAACACCTTTTTCTGGACAGGCTGTGCGATTGGGGAGTTCAGCTGCGGAGGAGGCCAATGCATCCCATCTCTCTACCGCTGTGACGGAGACTCGGACTGCCCAGATGGCTCGGACGAGGGCCGCTGCACCGACTGTGCACCCGACTCCTTCCAGTGCGGCAACGGGGCCTGCACCTCTCCCTCGTTCGTGTGCGATGGAGCTGACGACTGTGGAGACTACAGCGACGAGCAGAACTGCAGTGAGTAGAAAAATCTCACGTTATTGACATTGGCATTCGATGAGGGAACACACTCCTCATGCTGAAATTGGTTTCTTCGGTACACATTGACTCACCCTGAGTTTCTCTTCGAAGGCTGTGGAATGGATGAGTTCCGCTGTGGAGGAGGTCAGTGCATCCCATCCATCTACCGCTGTGACGGAGATGTGGACTGCCTGGACGGCTCGGACGAGACGAGGTGCACCGATTGTCCACCCAACTCATTCACCTGCGGCAACGGTGCCTGCACCTCCCTCTCGTTCGTGTGCGACGGGGCCGACGACTGTGGGGACTACAGCGATGAGCAGAACTGCAGTGAGTTGTGAACGTCTGCTTCTATATATTGTTACAAACATGCATCTTATAAGTTTAACACATAGTATACTTTCCTGACCAATATTGCGATGAATAAATTGCACGTGGATAAATGTGTAAATTTTGTTACTGTTTCAGCACCCCGCTGTGTTGTAGAGCAATTCATATTTTTTTACAATTAGGCGCCACGTTTCGCTGATAGTTACATTCAGAAGCATCAGGCAGTTGCCAGAATTGTGAAAATGTCCTCCAGTGTTGGGCCCTAAAGAGGTGGTGTGATGTCATCAGTGTGTGCCCACAAGGGAGCAGGAAGTGGCAGGAAGTGATACCTAGAAATGAATGCATTAGCATACATTATACAATGTATAGATCACAGTCAATTACGCGATGTATGTTAATATGAAGGTTTGCACAGTGAAACAAGTTAGTCATCGCTAATCAGTTATAATAGAAGGTTATGGTAGATCATAATAGATGTTAGAAATAGCAAGATACACATATATACGTGGTGATACTGCTTAGTCATAGTTATTCAGTTTAATTGTATACATACGTTTAATCAGAATAACTATAACTTTAATGCCATATTTTATATTTTTATGATGCATCAAAAGAGACGACAAAAGACTGCATTTGAAGCAATAACAGCATGGAGGGGATGTCATGGAAGTGACGTCACTTTTTGTATCAATCCAAAACAAACTTTCCGGGTTACTTAATATTTCATACTTGGGCCTGCTTTTTGTATTTTTCAGATTAATATAATTTTCAGGAACTCATTAATACATGTAGTGATGACTGTGGGTGCTGCCAAGCCTGACAGAAATTCATCTGTATGTAGGTACTCAAAGCTAACATCTTTTTTTCTGGACAGGCTGTGCGATTGGGGAGTTCAGCTGCGGAGGAGGCCAGTGCATCCCATCTCTCTACCGCTGTGACGGAGACGCGGACTGCCCAGACGGCTCGGACGAGAGCCGCTGCACCGATTGTCCACTCGACTCCTTCCAGTGCGGCAACGGGGCCTGCACCTCCCCCTCGTTTGTGTGCGATGGAGCCGACGACTGCGGGGACTACAGCGACGAGCAGAATTGCAGTAAGTTGTCAACATCTTCTGCTATTTGTTATTACGAATATCGATGTCATCAATTTAACACATAGTAGACTTTCTACATCAAAATTGTGATGGATAATATTGTCACGTGAACAAATGTGCCAATGTATTACTGCTTCAGCTCTCTGCTGTGTTGTAGGGCATGCACAATATTGAATAATTAGGCATCACATTTCGCTGATAGTTACAACCTGCAGCATCAGGCAGTTGCTAGAATTGTGAAAATGTCCTCCAGTTTTGGGCCCTAAATAGGTGGTGTGATGTCATCAGTGTGTGCCCACAAGGGAGCAGGAAGTGGCAGGAAGTGATACCTAGAGGTTAATATATTCAAATAAATTATAAAATGTTAGATCACATTAACCTTCGTGACATATGTTAATATGACGATTTAAATGCTGAAACAGGTTAGTCAGAGCTAATTAATTATAATAGAGGGTTATATTAGATTATTATATATTATGTGAGATATGTAAATATATAGATGTATATTTACGTGGTGATCAGTGTTAGTCATAGTTTTTCAGTTTTTCTTTTTTACATATGTTTAATCAAAACAACTATGACTTTACAGCAATGTTTAATATTTCTGTGATTTTTCAAAAGAGACAAGTAATTGCATTTTGAGCAGTAACAGCGTGGAAGGGATGTCATGGAAGTGACGTCAATTTTAGCGCCATCAAATTTTCGGATCAATCCGAACAAACATTCTGGATAATTTTTATTTTTTGTGTCTAGGCCTGATTTCTGGATTTTAAGATTAATTTAAAATTCAGGGACTCTATCTTTCTCACTTATGACTGTGGGTTCTACCAAGCCTGACAGAAATTCATCTGGATGTAGGTACTCAATCTAACACTTTTTCTGGACAGGCTGTGCAATTGGGGAGTTCAGCTGCGGAGGAGGCCAGTGCATCCCATCTCTCTACCGCTGTGACGGAGACACGGACTGCCCAGACGGCTCGGACGAGAGCCGCTGCACCGATTGTCCACCCAACTCCTTCCAGTGCGGCAACGGGGCCTGCACCTCCCCCTCGTTTGTGTGCGATGGAGCTGATGATTGTGGAGACTACAGCGACGAGCAGAACTGCAGTGAGTTTAGAACATCTGCCTCTATACGTTTTTACAAATTTGCATCTCATCAATTTAACAGACAGTAGACCTTCGTGAACCAATATTGTGAGTAATAAAATTATCATGTGAACAAATGTGCCAATGTATTTCTGTTTCAGCACACCACTGTGTAATATAGCAATTCATTATATTGTACCATTAGTTACAAACTGCAGCATTAGGCAGTTGCCAGAATTGTGAAAATGTCCTCCAGTGTTGGGCCCTAAATAGGTGGTGTGATGTCATCAGTGTGTGCCCACAAAGGATCTGGAAGTGGCAGGAAGTGATACCTAGAGGTGAATGTATTTGAATATATTATATAATAAATGATCACAATCACTTACATGAGTCCCATTAATATGACTTCATATTCATTTAAATGGTGAAACAGTTTATTCATAGCTAATTAGTTATACTAGAGCTTTAGCTTAGATTATTATAGATTAACTTAAACATTTCGATTTAAAGCTTTCGTGACTGCAGGGATTCATCTTCTTGGTTCTTTCGGTAAAGTCACGTAGAAGGGAAGTAATAAAATAATAAAAATAAAAATGTTGTTTTATTATGTTTTATTTTTTATTATTTTATTACTTCCCTTCTACGTGACTTTACCGAAAGAACCAAGAAGATAACTTAAACATGTCAATATACACATATATTTACATGGTGATGAGTGTTAGTTATTCAGTGGGACTTTTTTTGCACAAGTGTACTCAGAAAAACTATAACTTTTAATGCAATGTGTAATATTTTAATGATTTTTCAAAAGAGACAAGTGTCTGCATTGGAAGCAGTAACAGCATGGAGGGGATGTCATGGAAGTGACGTCACTTTTGCGACATTGCATTTTGGGATTAATCCAAACCAAACATTCTGGATCATCCGATGTTTTGTGTTATGGCCCAATTTCTGTATTTTCAAATTAATCTTAAATTCAGGGACTCTATATTTTTGAATTATGACTGTGGGTGCGACCAAGCCTGACAGAAATTCATCTGGATGTAGGTAATCAAGCAACCAACTTTTTTTCTGGACAGGCTGTGCGATTGGGGAGTTCAGCTGCGGAGGAGGCCAGTGCATCCCATCTCTCTACCGCTGTGACGGAGACACGGACTGCCCAGACGGCTCGGACGAGAGCCGCTGCACCGATTGTCCACCCGACTCCTTCCAGTGCCGCAACGGGGCCTGCACCTCCCCCGTGTTCGTGTGCGATGGAGCTGACGACTGTGGAGACTACAGCGACGAGCAGAACTGCAGTGAGTTGTCAATATCTGCCTCAATATGTTTCTACGAATTTGCACGTCATCAATTTAACAGACAGTAGAACTTCGCAAAGCAATGTTGTGATAACTAAATTTATCACGTGAACAAATGTGCCAATGTGTTTCTGCATCAGCACACCACTGTGTAATAGAGCAATCCATTATATTGTACCATTAGGCACCACTTTTCTCAGATAATTACAAACTGCAGCATCAGGCCCTTGCCAGAATTGTAAAAATGTCCTCCAGTGTTAGGCCCTAAATAGGTGGTGTGATGTCATCAGTGTGTGCCCACAAGGGAGGAAGCAGTGGCAGGAAGTGATACCTAGAGGTGAATGTATTTGAAGATATAATTGAGTAAATTATCACAATCACTTACGTGAGTTCCATTAATATGACTGTATTTAGATTTACATCCTGAAACAGTTTATTCATAGATAATTAGTTATACTAGAGAGTTATGTTAGATTATTATAGATTATCTTAGACATGTCAATATGCACATATATATTTACATGGTGATGAGTGTTAGTTATTCAGTTGGACTTTTTTTGCACAAGTTTACTCAGAAAAACTATAACTTTTAATGCAATGTTTAATATTTTAAGGATTTTTCTAATGAGACGACAAGTAACTGCATTTGAAGCAGTAACAGCGTGGAGGGGATGTTATGGAAGTGACGTCACTTTTGCGACATTGCATTTTGGGATTAATCCAAACCAAACATTCTAGATCATTTGATGTTTTGTGTCTCGGCCCAATTTCTGTATTTTCAAATTAATCTGAAATTCAGGGACTCTATCTTTCTGAATTATGTCTGTGGGTGCGGCCAAGCCTGACAGAAATTCATCTGGATGTAGGTTCTCAAGCTATCAACTTTTTTCCTGGACAGGCTGTGCGATTGGGGAGTTGACCTGCGGAGGAGGCCAGTGCATCCCATCTCTCTACCGCTGTGATGGAGACACGGACTGCCCAGACGGCTCGGACGAGGTCCGCTGCACCGATTGTCCACCCGACTCCTTCCAGTGCGGCAACGGGGCCTGCACCTCCCTCGTGTTCATGTGCGATGGAGCTGACGACTGTGGAGATTATAGCGACGAGCAGAACTGCAGTGAGTTGTGAATATCTGCCTCTATACATTGTTACAAACATGCATGTTATCAGTTTAACACATAGTAGATTTTCCATCCAATATTGTGATCATTAAAATTGTTACATGAATAAATATGCCAATTTATTTCTGCTTCATCACACCATTGTGTTGTAGAGCTAACACCTTTTTTTTCTGGACAGGCTGTGCGATTGGGGAGGTCAGCTGCGGAGGAGGCCAATGCATCCCGTCTCTCTACCGCTGTGACGGAGACGTGGACTGCCCAGATGGTTCAGACGAGAGCCGCTGCTGTCCACCCGACTCCTTCCAGTGTTACAACGGGGCGTGTGCTCCACTGTCAGCTCTCTGCAATGGGTCTAACGACTGTGGAGACTACAGTGACGAGGAGCTTTGCAGTGAGTTTTCACGTTACCCCTGCGTGCAGTAAAAAGGGAAATCCGTATTCATGGTGGAAGTTAGCGTTGTACGGTCGTGGGGGATGGCGGTGGCTTGGAAATGCCTTCATCCAGCAGTGGATTGATCATGACTGATGATGATGGTGCATCTGTGCCAAGGAGGTGGCTATGCACGTGGCCTGTAACCCTGCACTGTGGAGGCAGTGAGGCTGAGTGAAACTCCTTTCCCGCGAGCCTCGAGCAGCCAGACGGTAGTCCAGCAAAAATGTGTATTCGACCCATTCAGTCGTTATGGGATACAGTGTTTCTCCCTCGCACGTGTGGGTTTTCTCCAGGGGTGCTCCGATTTACTCCCACATGTAAACATTCATCATTGGCCGATCACACGTTTAACATAGAGAGGACTGCAGAGCTTTGGCAATTGTTGGTGCTGGATCATCTCACGGTTGCCTTCACGCTTGTCAGTGGTTCCTCGGCGGCTCTGAGTCATTCTGAACCCAACGACCTGAGTTCAATTCTCAACCATGGGTAATTTCAGTGGCGAGCGATATTGGAACTGGTGCGCGACCACCGCGCCCCTTCACCAACCTGCAATGACCAGCGTGGCAGAGTATGGGGGAGGCATTCATCCAGCAGAGGATTGACAATTGCCTGTGACAGCACGCCCATGACAGGCCTCGCTAACACCGTACTCTCACGGTAGGCTGAAAAGAAGTTGGACTCCGATTTTAGGCTGCGTCGCCTCATCCCGTTTTCTCTTCGTTGTTTCCGCGTGCGCATCTTGCTTCCAACTCTAAACAACGTGCTTTGTTTTTTACAGCTACGCAGATGACAACTCATCCCCCGACGGAAACATCAGGCCCCAGCACTGCGGGTACCACAGTCGCAACCGCCGTCACCTCAATTGCCGTGTCGAACATAACACAACCCAGCAACAATGGCACAGAGTCTGTGCCAATACCAACTACAGTTTCTGACACTGGTGCTACACTGACAAAGCCTAACATCAGTGTCACAGAGACTGTGCCAATACCAACTCCAGTTTCTAACACTACCACGACAACTATTGCTACTGCTGTAATGCCTAATGTCGGTATCACACCAGTTGTGCCAATACCAACTCATGTTTCTAACACCGGTGCTACGTCGGCAAAGCCTAACGTCGGTATCACAGAGACTGTGCCAATGCCAACTCGTGTTTCTAACACCGGTGCTACTTCGGCAAAGCCGAACAGCGGTGTCACAGAGACTGTGCCAATACCAACTCCCGTTTCTAACACCAGTGCTACGTCGGCAAAGTCAAACGTCGGTGTCACAGAGACTGTGCCAATACCAACTCCCGTTTCTAACACCGGTGCTACATCGGCAAAGACTAACGTCGGTGTCACAGAGACTGTGCCAATACCAACTCCCGTTTCTAACTCTAGTGCTACATCGGCAAAGCCTAACGTCGGTGTCACAGAGACTGTGCCAATACCAACTCCCGTTTCTAACACCGGTGCTACGTCGGCAAAGCCAAACGTCGGTGTCACAGATAATGTGCCAATTCCTACTCCCGTTTCTAACACCGGTGCTATGTCGGCAAAGCCTAACAGCGGTGTCACAGAGACTGTGCCAATACCAACTCCCGTTTCTAACACTGGTGCTATATCGGCAAAGCCTAACGTCGGTGTCACAGAGACTGTGCCAATAACAACTCTCATTTCTAACACCGGTGCTACATCGGCAAACCCTAATATCAGTGCCACAGAGACTGTGCCAATACGAATTTCCGTTTCTAACACTGGTGCTACATCGCCAAAGCCTAACGTCGGTGTCACAGTGACTGTGCCAATATCAACTCCCGGTTCTAATACCGGTGCTACGTCGGCAAAGCCGAACAGCGGTATCACAGAGAATGTGCCAATACCAACTCCCGTTTCTAACACCGGCGCTACGTCGGCAAAGTCAAACGTCGGTGTCACAGAGACTGTGCCAATACCAACTCCCGTTTCTAACACCGGTGCTACGTCGGCAAAGTCAAACGTCGGTGTCACAGAGACTGTGCCAATACCAACTCTCGTTTCTAACACCGGTGCTACGTCCGCAAAGTCAAACGTCGGTGTCACAGAGACTGTGCCAATACCAACTCCCGTTTCTAACACCGGTGCTACATCGGCAAAGCCTAACGTCGGTGTCACAGAGACTGTGCCAATACCAACTCCCGTTTCTTACACCGGTGCTACATCTGCAAAGCCTAACGTCGGTGTCACAGAGACTGTGCCAATACCAACTCCCGTTTCTAACACCGGTGCTACATCGGCAAAGCCTAGCATCGGTGTCACAGTGACTGTGCCAATACCATCTCCCGGTTCTAACACCGGTGCTACATCGGTAAAGCCTAACGTCGTGGTAACAGAGACTGTGCCAATACCAACTCCCGGTTATACCACCGGTGTTATGTCGGCAAAGCCTAACGTCGGTGTCACAGAGACTGTGCCAATACCAACTCCTGCTTCTAACATCGGTGCTACGTCGGCAAAGCCTAACGCCAGTGTCACAGAGACTGTGTCAATACCAACTCCCATTTCTAACACCGGTGCTACATCGGCAAAGCCTAACGTCGGTATCACAGAGACTGTGCCAATGCCAACTCGTGTTTCTAACACCGGTGCTACTTCGGCAAAGCCGAACAGCGGTGTCACAGAGAATGTGCCAATACCAACTACCGTTTCTAACACCAGTGCTACGTCGGCAAAGTCAAACGTCGGTGTCACAGAGACTGTGCCAACACCAACTCCCGTTTCTAACACCGGTGCTACGTCGGCAAAGTCAAACGTCGGTGTCACAGAGACTGTGCCAATACCAACTCCCGTTTCTAACACCGGTGCTACATCGGCAAAGACTAACGTCGGTGTCACAGAGACTGTGCCAATACCAACTCCCGTTTTTAACACCAGTGCTACATCGGCAAAGCCTAACGTCGGTGTCACAGAGACTGTGCCAATACCAACTCCCGTTTCTAACACCGGTGCTACGTTGGCAAAGCCAAACGTCGGTGTCACAGATAATGTGCCAATTCCTACTCCCGTTTCTAACACCGGTGCTATGTCGGCAAAGCCTAACAGCGGTGTCACAGAGACTGTGCCAATACCAACTCCCGTTTCTAACACCGGTGCTACGTCGGCAAAGCCAAACGTCGGTGTCACAGAGACTGTGCCAATACCAACTCCCGTTTCTTACACCGGTGCTACATCTGCAAAGCCTAACGTCGGTGTCACAGAGACTGTGCCAATACCAACTCCCGTTTCTAACACCGGTGCTACATCGGCAAAGCCTAGCATCGGTGTCACAGTGACTGTGCCAATACCATCTCCCAGTTCAAACACCGGTGCTACATCGGTAAAGCCTAACGTCGTGGTAACAGAGACTGTGCCAATACCAACTCCCGGTTATACCACCGGTGTTATGTCGGCAAAGCCTAACGTCGGTGTCACAGAGACTGTGCCAATACCAACTCCTGCTTCTAACATCGGTGCTACGTCGGCAAAGCCTAACGCCAGTGTCACAGAGGCTGTGCCAATACCAACTCCCATTTCTAACACCGGTGCTACATCGGCAAAGCCTAACGTCGGTGTCACAGAGACTGTGCCAATACCACCTCCCGTTTCTAACACCGGTGCTACGTCGGCAAAGCCTAACGTCGGTGCCACAGAGATTGTGCCAATACCAACTCCCGTTTCTTACACCGGTGCTACATCGGCAAAGCCTAACGTCAGTGTCACAGAGACTGTGCCAATACCAATTCCCGTTTCTAACATCGGTGCTACGTCGGCAAAGCCTAACGTCAGTGTCACAGAGACTGTGCCAATACCAACTCCCGTTTCTAACACCGGTGCTACATCGGCAAAGCCTAGCATCGGTGTCACAGTGACTGTGCCAATACCATCTCCCGGTTCTAACACTGGTGCTACGTCGGCAAAGCCTAACGTCAGTGTCACAGAGACTGTGCCAATACCAACTCCCGTTTCTTACACCGGTGCTACATCTGCAAAGCCTAACGTCGGTGTCACAGAGACTGTGCCAATACCAACTCCCGTTTCTAACACCGGTGCTACGTCAGCAAAGCCTGACGTCGGTGTCACAGAGTCTGTGCCAATACCAATCCCAAGTTCTAACACCGGTGCTACATCGGCAAAGCCTAACATCAGTGCAACAGAGACTGTGCCAATACCAACTCCTGCTTCTAATACCGGTGCTACATCGGCAAAGCCTAACATCACTGCCACAGAGACTGTGCCAATACCAACTCCCGTTTCTAACATCAGTGCTACGTCGGCAAAGCCAAACGTCGGTGTCACAGAGACTGTGCCAATACCAACTCTCATTTTTAACACAGGTGCTACATCCGCAAAGCCTAACATCAGTGCCACAGAGACTGTGCCAATACCAACTCTCGTTTCTAACACTGGGGCTACGTCGGCAAAGCCTAACGTCGGTGTCACAGAGACTGTGCCAATACGAACTCCCGTTTCTAACACCGGTGCTACGTCGGCAAAGCCTAACATCAGTGCCACAGAGACTGTGCCAATACGAACTCCCGTTTCTAACACCGGTGCTACGTCGGCAAAGCCTAGCATCAGTGCCAAAGAGACTGTGCCAATACCAACTCTCATTTCTAACACAGGTGCTACATCCGCAAAGCCTATCATCAGTGCCACAGAGAATGTGCCAATTCCAACTCCCGTTTCTAACACCGGTGCTACTTCGGCAAAGCCTAACGTCGGTGTCACAGAGACTGTGCCAATACCAACTCTCATTTCTAACACCGGTGCTACGTCGGCAAAGCCTAAAGCCAGTGTCACAGAGAATGTGGCAATACCAACTCCCATTTCTAACACCGGTGCTACGTCGGCAAAGCCTAACGCCAGTGTCACAGAGAATGTGCCAATACCAACTCCCGGTTTTAACAGCGGTGCTACATCAGCAAAGCCTGACGTCGGTGTCACAGAGTCTGTGCCAATACCAATCCCCAGTTCTAACACCGGTGCTACATCGGCAAAGCCTAACATCAGTGCCACAGAGACTGTGCCTATACCAACTCCTGCTTCGAATACCGGTGCTACATCGGCAAAGCCTAACATCAGTGCCACAGAGACTGTGCCAATACCAACTCCCGTTTCTAACACCGGTGCTACATCGGCAAAGCCTAACATCAGTGCCACAGAGACTGTGCCAATACCAACTCCTGCTTCTAATACCGGTGCTACGTCGGCAAAGCCGAACGTCGGTGTCACAGAGAATGTGCCAATACCAACTCCCGTTTCTAACACCGGTGCTACATCGGCAAAGCCTAACGTCGGTGTCACAGAGACTGTGCCAATACCAACTCCTGCTTCTAACACTGGTGCTACGTCGGCAAAGCCTAACGCCAGTGTCACAGAGAATGTGGCAATACCAACTCCTGTTTCTAACACCGGTGCTACGTCGGCAAAGCCTAACGTCGGTGTCACAGAGACTGTGCCAATACCAACTCTTGTTTCTAACACAGGTGCTACGTCGGCAAAGCCTAACGTCGGTGTCACAGAGAATGTGCCAATTCCAACTCCTGGTTCTAACACCGGTGCTACATCGGCAAAGCCTAACGTCGGGGTAACAGAGACTGTGCCAATACCAACTCTCATTTCTAACACCGGTGCTACATCGGCAAAACCTAACGTCGGGGTAACAGAGACTGTGCCAATACCAACTCCCGTTTCTAACACCGGTGCTACGTCGGCAAAGCCTAACGTCAGTGTCACAGAGACTGTGCCAATACCAACTCCCGTTTCTAACACCGGTGCTACATCGGCAAAGCCTAGCATCGGTGTCACAGTGACTGTGCCAATACCATCT